GACACATTTAACAGCCATCTTTAAAAGTGTGAAAATTAAATTGCGAAAAGAAATTGTGAAAACTGCAATACCCTGCCTTTCCTGTTAAATCCACATTATATCAATCCCATGAAAAACCTAGAAAACTCCAAACAACAAGGAATATTTTAACTTTGTTTTGTGGTTTATAAAAGAGAAAGTTAATACACAGAAAATAATGAGTACTTTACATTCAGTTCTCTGCAGCAGCTCCCCAAATTGGTCCTTTGAACCCTAATGATCAGCAAAGACTGAGATCAGCCCACAGTTTAGCTCAAGGCCCATGGGACCACTGTTTATGTACAACATCCCTCCCATCTATACCTGAATGGAAGCTACGGCCTTGTGCTAACAGTCTTATCACCAGACTAGGCCATTACTGTAAACTACTTTGATGTTTCAGTAGAACAAAGACAGTAATGCAACAGTTTATGCACATGTGATGGATGGAAACTCAAGGTTAAATAGAATAACACAGCCATCACTCTCCAGCTTATACTAGAAATCAGAGCAGAAAAGTGAGGGAAGAAATAGTAGAGAAATATTTTTAAATCAAAAGAAAAGGTCCACAAGCCTGACTGAAATGAAGAAGAAGAATTAAGAATATTTAACTTTAGCACTTCTCACAAAACAGTATTTCCCTAAGTTTTGGTTTTACAATTTTAATCTTGAAATACCTCCTGTGTTTTTCTGCCAAACTGTGTTTAACCACTTTTCTCTACATCTGCAGACCCATCAGGATTTTAACCTTTGATGTGGAGTCCTGTGTCCAGATCCTAAAAAATTACAACAAATATTGTCACCTGGTGTCATTTCAGCCTCCTGTTATCACTCAAACAAAAGAACATCTTCCCAGACGCGCGTTCAATCTTCCTTTCCCTCCAGTGGGGTCCTACAACTCAATACTCTGCAGAATAAGGTTCATTTTTGACATCATCAACTCAAGAAAAATGGATAAAAGTAACTCATCACTAGGTCAACTTCTTACCTCTGAACTCCATCACTCCTAAGGGATATCTTCAATTCAGTGTAGTAGAAAATTTCTAAAGAGCTTTTTCAATACATTTTCTTCATTAACGTCCTTGCTCTAATTAGGAAGCATCAACTAGCACACAGAAATTACTCTGATGGCATTTCCACTCTGAATTGGAAGCTGCTGTTCTGCAGCACTCATAAGGACTTTTCATAGCTCATTTATACAAGTCTGACCCTTCATTGCCCTCTCCAAAGAACAGTCCCTAATCGCATACATCTTGTTCAGCCAAAATTTACTACTCTTACACATCCTAAATAGCACTTCACTTCATCAGCTTAACTGCTAAAAGCATAACTTCTCCCTGGGAAAAAAGCTACTGCAGCCTGCCTCACTGTTGAGTTGAGGTTGTACTAGGTACTGCAAGGTCACTGATATTTGTCCACACTGAGATGGTGATAATTTCATGATTGTTTTCCTCATTTTCACTAACAAATGTCACCAAGATCCTTCTCAGAAGTTGACAACAGTGACAGAGATGAGTAAACGATGAACATCGTTAAAATATTAATGACAGGCTCACAGTCTGTCCCACTAATACCTTCTGCCCCATCATAGGAAATGACACCATATATATATATGTTAAAAAAGGCTTGCAGTTTTACACAGAGAAATAAACTATGCTGCTTATAGACAGCAGTGTCAGATTGAAATATGACAGACAACTGGAACACACTTGGAACCAAAGCGTGATTCAGCCACGGTCCCTGGTTGGCTGACGTGTACGAGCACACACGCGNTTAAATGATTAAACAACCATGTGCCTCTCACTCTGCCTCCTGGTCAGCCACAGGATCTCAACCAGTCTGGTCCATTTCTCTTGTTCCTCACTCTGGTTTCCAGTTTTTCTCTCCTTTTTGCCTTTCAGGTTCATGTAACAACACAAGATTTTAAAAAACATAAATCGTCATAACATTTTTGTTTCATTTAATAAACATACTTCTTCAGCCTCCCAACTATGTCCTTGTATGTGTTTTTTTATTAGTAATAGTATTACAATCTCCCTTAATTTTGATCTGAAAACTGCTTGACATTCACAATGAGGCATTAAAAAGGATTTATTTTGTCCTTGAAGTAGGCACGTAACTCCTCTTAATGTGAGAGCTCAGACTGGTGTAAATCAAGACTAAATTCACTGATATCGGGGTGCCTGAACAGGTAGAACCAGGATAAAGCAATGGTGAAGCAAATAATTTTGTATTCATCAAGGGTAAAATCCCAATAGCAAAGAGGACAATTGCTTTCTGTCCTGCCTCTACCTGAACAACTGCCTTAAAAATATAGTCAATAGAACTACTAAGAATATTTTCTTCTGAAATTCAGGAACAAATGTTTTTTTGTTTCGCAAGGACAAGCCTTTCTTTTCTGCTCACAACCAGACACTGACACATACTAATCTCATGAAACAGTTCATAGTGAGCAATTGTTGCCTCCTCCATGACCCAAAATAAACCCATTTCTATGGTCTCATAGAGAAACATCAGCAGATTTGTTTAATTAATTTTTCAGGGTCAAGGGAAAAATGTATAGATAAATACATTTAAAAGCTTTGAAAGCTTCATGGCAGCAGTCCAACACTTTCTTTGCCTTCGCTTGCTGTCACAGGGGAAAAAAAGCAGCCTATAAAGCTTAGAAAAGTGATCTGTCTCTGGGTCTGGGGTTCCTGTCACCTGTCAATTCCCTGATGTAGCACCATGATATATAACAGCAGACCAGCACTCAAGTGATGTATTACAATAATATGTCAGTAATGCAATGGTGCTTTGATAGTCCTTAATAACCAGAATACTTCACTGGGGAGAGGGCCAAAGGAAAAGGAAGACCTGGGCACAAGGCACATTCAGCTAAGTGCTGCCTCATCCTGTTGAAGTGTGGAGTGCCATGAGCTCTGGATGGGAAACACCTTGTTTGTCCCCAGAACAAGGGCTAGAATTTGAGCAGCAGCATTCACAGGAAGGTACCTGGCATACAAGGTGTCTTATCTTGGGCATGAGAATTTGTATTTCTGTTTGCACCAAGACCTGGACTGAATCAAGGGAAAGAGGCTCCTCTCCTACCTTGCCAAGCTGGACACACTGCTGGCAGGCAGGAACATGGGGAGTAATGATGATTTTAGAGGGGCACTCATCTTTCAGAACAATACAAAAGGTACATCAGGTGCCTGTCAGATTCTGCCTTGCAGTAGGAGAATCCAGCCTAGTGTCCCAAAGAGGGTGAAAACAGAGCCTGGGCTGGTTCAGGCATGCAACCCCTCCATTCCTGGGTGGGGATGCAGCCAGCCCCAGCCAAGCCTTGTTGCACTTGTGCTCTCCATGACAAACATCACTGCAATGTGGTTTATTGGTGGGGGGCACTGAGGGATGTGCTCTCAACCAGGCCATCTGAGTGGTGCCATTGCACAAGTAATGACAGGCTCTCCCTGCATAACAAAAGCATTGTTATGCAGAGAGCCCAAACCAGGCCAAGTTTCTCAGTAATAACACACCAAGCCAGGGAAAATGGCCTTTATTTTACTTTTGTCTCCTATATTAGAGGTGTCCTACACCCAGCATGGTAGCCTTGGGTCATATTGGTGTTTTTGAGCACCACAGTAAGGACTGAAACAACGCAGCGATGTGCTGACTCCAGGAGTACTTATGACACACTTTTCCTGAACAGCACCATATTCCCTTATAGAGGAGTATTTGGCACAGCCATGAAAATATCAGATGTAGTAAGCAATGCTTACACTGCCTTTAATAAAGGGAATGAGAATTCCATGCAACACAGCTGGATTCAGGCAAAGATTGAGCCATTGCTCATGTTTCTAGACTGTGATGAGGGCTGATGTTTAAGTGCCTGCATTTGACTTAACAGCTGTACTTAGCTGGGTTCCTAATCACTGGGTCTCAGTGGTAGCTTGTTAAGCTATGGTAATTTAACCACTTGTGCTTGTCTGTTCATAACTTGGATTTCAGGATCCCATGAACAGAAATGTTGCACTAGCATTGCTGTGAAGAGTGCCAGACACAAATATTTCAAAAGCCTTAGCTTTTGAAGGTCTTCTGCAATTCTGGAGGTCCCTCACACATCACACTCAGAGATGGCCAACCTAGTCCTTCATTGCCTCACCCTTTTAGCTTACTGACATAAAGGAAAAACAGAAAAAACTGAGCTTTGGATATAAAAGGGAAAATAAACAGACACCACTGTATTCTTAAATAATATATACATAAAAGTTTAGCTGCATCAGGTCAGAGAAAAGATTTGGACCATTAGTCTGGCCTCCACCAGTGACTAGCAGTGGGCATCTGGGAAGGAACATATGGAGGAGGTGGTCATGGAGAAGAGATAATTCCCAGGTAGGTCTGCCACACTCCTGAAATTTGCAGTTTATGGACCTACAGAGCTAAAGGAAAGGGGTGGGAGGGGGGGAAGATATGTATGCATGCATGTGCATGGGTAGATTTGGTTGATACATATCCAGAGACATATTTCCATGTTCTTTTTTCCTTTTTAAGCAGTCTCTTCTACCAAGGAGCGAAGAAAATACTTTTTCTTTCTTTTATTTTTTTTTTCCCTACATAAACACTCTACAGTCTCTTACACGCTAAAGTCTGTTAGGTGAGAGTATGAGATTCATGGGGTCATGACTGCACAAGCAGATAGTTTGCCCCTTCTATTCACCTCCAAGGCTCCAAAGATAATCAGCCTGTAGAATGGAAAGGTAAGAAGATAATTATTTTTGGAGGGGAGCAGTAAGAAGGAAGGAGAGGTAGTTGTTTTCTCTTTTATCTTAAAAAATCTTGCCTTAGAACATTTCTCTGCTGACCCTCCATGTGCTTTGCATGACCCTGAACAACAGAGTTGGAGGGCCAGATATGACAAGGGAAATTCAGAAGAAAGAGCAGACTTTGCCGAAAGGAAATATAAGAAGAACAAGGACTGAAAAAGCAGCCAGGGGTAACTCTGATGTACAAAAATACATTTATTTTCAACAATTTCAAAACCACTGCCTTTTTTTTACAGTAGAAATATTCAAATGGAACAATAAAACCAAGAACAGTATATATATATGTATATATATGACTCATGCAGTTGTGTTACTGTGTTCAATACAGGTATTGCAATTGTCTGTCTCATTTAATCCTTTAAAATCATGGTGGTGGTTTGGGTTTAGTGCAGTGTCTGACACGTGAGGATTCTGGTTTGGTTTGTTAGACCTGGAATGTGTGTGGGAGTTGATTGAAGGAAAAGAGGACATCAGGGCATCTTTGCACATCCATGAAACCAAAGCTTAGTCCAGAAGAAAACACACACTTACTGCACATGGTCTTGTTGATGGCAACTGTGTCTGAAACCCTCTGCAGTCTCCAGTCGCTCTAGTCTTACCTCTGATCCATCTGGGCTTAGTGCTGGGAGTCTCAAGCACTGGTTAAACTAAGCAGAGGATCTGTTTGGTGTTTACATCAGGTTGTCAGCCATACAGAGCCAGAAGCTGCATCTAGTCTCTATGCCTTATGCATTATTCTGAAGTTATAGCTAATACAGTAGAATCCATCATGGGGGAAAGGCTGGCAGTGATAGAGGGCACTGACCCAGTTTCTTGCTCTCTGTCTGTTTCTTTTCCTCTTTTTACATAACTAGAGTGTGGGAGCTATTTATGTTCTACTCATGCCATGGTCTCTTTCCCTCATTACTCAGGTAAGTAACAGTCTACAGCTTCAAGGATTCCCATTACATTTTCCCCAGGGGGGAATTTTTCCTGCAGGGGAAAAAATCCTAATGACAACCTCAAGTTATCTTGCAGCAAGACACACACAAACAAAAGTGGCCAATGCTCCAGTCTGTGCTAACACCACAGCTCAGTACATTCCAAAATAGATGAACAGTGTTGATTGCCCAGTGCAAACCTTACAGAGGTCCCATGGATTGATAGATACAGCCCTCAGTATCCCGCTGGAACACAGTAGTTACCCTTCTAGTATCCTAAAGGAGCAGCTTTCAGTTATGAACACAAGCTTTTTTCAGCTGCCATCAGCCATGACTGTGCCCTAAAGCAGCAGGTATGATTTGGTAAGTCTGGTCCCATGCACACCCTAGGGAGCTCTTTTCAGATGTGCATGGAGCACACCCTGGTCCTGACAGCAGTGTGACAAACTACCCTGAGAGGTAGTGACACCCACTAAGTCTCATGGGACATGAAGTTTGAGAGAACTCAAGAATCAGTCAGGTTTTTTGACATTCAGTTCTGGCTCCATGGATCTTTTTTATCTGCTTTGTAGAATATTTTAGGATCATTTTGGATTGAAAATGGTTTTCTGGATAGATGTTTCTCAAAAAATTAACTGTATCATTCAGAAATTCCCTAATCTTCATTGAGATTAAATTTCTTTTTGAGAAGTGAAAATGTTTCCATTTTTTCATCATCTTACTCTCAATTTTCCCTCTTTGTTTCCTCCCATTTGTTATGACACATTTAACAGCCATCTTTAAAAGTGTGAAAATTAAATTGCGAAAAGAAATTGTGAAAACTGCAATACCCTGCCTTTCCTGTTAAATCCACATTATATCAATCCCATGAAAAACCTAGAAAACTCCAAACAACAAGGAATATTTTAACTTTGTTTTGTGGTTTATAAAAGAGAAAGTTAATACACAGAAAATAATGAGTACTTTACATTCAGTTCTCTGCAGCAGCTCCCCAAATTGGTCCTTTGAACCCTAATGATCAGCAAAGACTGAGATCAGCCCACAGTTTAGCTCAAGGCCCATGGGACCACTGTTTATGTACAACATCCCTCCCATCTATACCTGAATGGAAGCTACGGCCTTGTGCTAACAGTCTTATCACCAGACTAGGCCATTACTGTAAACTACTTTGATGTTTCAGTAGAACAAAGACAGTAATGCAACAGTTTATGCACATGTGATGGATGGAAACTCAAGGTTAAATAGAATAACACAGCCATCACTCTCCAGCTTATACTAGAAATCAGAGCAGAAAAGTGAGGGAAGAAATAGTAGAGAAATATTTTTAAATCAAAAGAAAAGGTCCACAAGCCTGACTGAAATGAAGAAGAAGAATTAAGAATATTTAACTTTAGCACTTCTCACAAAACAGTATTTCCCTAAGTTTTGGTTTTACAATTTTAATCTTGAAATACCTCCTGTGTTTTTCTGCCAAACTGTGTTTAACCACTTTTCTCTACATCTGCAGACCCATCAGGATTTTAACCTTTGATGTGGAGTCCTGTGTCCAGATCCTAAAAAATTACAACAAATATTGTCACCTGGTGTCATTTCAGCCTCCTGTTATCACTCAAACAAAAGAACATCTTCCCAGACGCGCGTTCAATCTTCCTTTCCCTCCAGTGGGGTCCTACAACTCAATACTCTGCAGAATAAGGTTCATTTTTGACATCATCAACTCAAGAAAAATGGATAAAAGTAACTCATCACTAGGTCAACTTCTTACCTCTGAACTCCATCACTCCTAAGGGATATCTTCAATTCAGTGTAGTAGAAAATTTCTAAAGAGCTTTTTCAATACATTTTCTTCATTAACGTCCTTGCTCTAATTAGGAAGCATCAACTAGCACACAGAAATTACTCTGATGGCATTTCCACTCTGAATTGGAAGCTGCTGTTCTGCAGCACTCATAAGGACTTTTCATAGCTCATTTATACAAGTCTGACCCTTCATTGCCCTCTCCAAAGAACAGTCCCTAATCGCATACATCTTGTTCAGCCAAAATTTACTACTCTTACACATCCTAAATAGCACTTCACTTCATCAGCTTAACTGCTAAAAGCATAACTTCTCCCTGGGAAAAAAGCTACTGCAGCCTGCCTCACTGTTGAGTTGAGGTTGTACTAGGTACTGCAAGGTCACTGATATTTGTCCACACTGAGATGGTGATAATTTCATGATTGTTTTCCTCATTTTCACTAACAAATGTCACCAAGATCCTTCTCAGAAGTTGACAACAGTGACAGAGATGAGTAAACGATGAACATCGTTAAAATATTAATGACAGGCTCACAGTCTGTCCCACTAATACCTTCTGCCCCATCATAGGAAATGACACCATATATATATATGTTAAAAAAGGCTTGCAGTTTTACACAGAGAAATAAACTATGCTGCTTATAGACAGCAGTGTCAGATTGAAATATGACAGACAACTGGAACACACTTGGAACCAAAGCGTGATTCAGCCACGGTCCCTGGTTGGCTGACGTGTACGAGCACACACGCGCGCGCGTGTGTGTGTGTGTGCACGCATGTGTGTGTGCGTGCATGTCTGTGTGTGGTTCAGGTTCTGTTTTAAACATATCTTCTTTTACTAAACATTAAATTATTTCCCAAGAAATAAAAAGCTATGTACATTGTAATTATCTACAGTAGGCCTTCAGCATCCTCGCTATTCACATGCACAGGGTTTAGGCTGCATTCATAAACTCAGGCACTCTCCTCCACTGCTTGTGGTGCTGTCCCCTCCAGCCAGTCTGTAGTCCAAGGAACACTGATGTGTGTGTTTGCTCTGATTTTTTTTCCTTTCTCAGCAGTCAACAGTGCCAGAGGGTGACTGAAATTAAAAGCAATTAAAAGAGGCAAGATCCTGCAAAAAAGCTGAGACATGCACGTCATCGGGAAGCAAGGGATGTTGGCATGTTGCAGAGCCTGGTCTAACAGCCCAGTCTGAACCCTCTGGCAGAATGAAGTAGATGATTCATGACTTAGTTTGAAAAGGGCTGAAAAGGGACAATTTACTTACAACATGTTGCCTAAGGTACAGTACCTATCTGTTGGATTTGAATACTTAATTCCTGTTCTGTGTTTAACAGGAGGCTGGCATTCAAATCCCATTGCACACTGGACTCATTCTTTGCTTTTTATTTCTAATCTGATGTGTATTTCCTAAATATGAAGAACCCCTGCTATTTATGAATGCAGCCCTGGTAAACACAAAAAGCCCACCCCACCCCCTCCCAAATGATAATAATGACATATAACTCTTTCTTTTTTCATAATAATAATAATAATTATAACAATAATAATTACAAATAAAAAGTCAGAAATATTGTAGACCAAGTGGATTCTCAGTATTAAACACTAGTGCAGTTGGGGATTTCCTTTGTGCTTTCACTGTTGGCAATTGTTGAGATGCTTCCTGTGGAGGAGAAAATGAAGAAAAAAGTCAGTGCAGTGGCTTTAACAGTTTGGTCTATATTGCTTCTCACTCCTTCTTAGGATGTGCTTGTTTAAGTGTAAAGACAGCAAAGGTGTTTAGAAGTAAGACATCCTCTTTTGTATTTGCAATAAGCAGGGGGCATGCAGAAAACTCATTACTACAGCTCAGTTGACCAGCAGTAAACTCATTAAACTATTAGGGACATATTTGCTTGCAATCATAGCACACCAACAGTGTAAGCTTGGGTCAGCTGATTCTTTTGAGGGTTCAGCAAATTTGGTACTTCACAGGAGAGGTAGGGTCATGAGCAGGCATAAGTGAGAGCCACAGCTATTACTAAGTCCCATATAGCTATTGTTGGCTACAGGTTCCTACCCCGGTCATGTAACACTGTCGGAAAAGTTGTCAGAAAAACTCCCTGTTACTATGTTGCAGAGAGAGATTAACCCCTATCTCAGTACCTCAGGTTCTACTTGTACCTGGAGTCACAGTCACTGCTTCTCTAATACCCCAGTGACCAACATCCTCATCCAGACTGTGAAAAAAAAAAAAAACAAACAGTGGAGGGCTCTCACCCATCACTCTTGTGTCCAGCTCTTTGTCCATCAGCTCCTCAGGGTCTGTGAACTCACTCAGAGTGATTTTGGGGGCATTTTCACTTTGGCTGACAGAGCCAATCATTTCCTGCTCCTTGTCATGCTGAACTTGGGCATAGATGTTAATCCAAGGGATTTTCCTGCACAAGAAAGGAAAACGAGAGGCTATATTTTGTAACACAGGAATCCTCGGCATGTCATTTATTACTCAGACAAATTAAACTGAGACCAATCCCAGAAATGCAGCTCTGGCAGTGAGCCCTCAGAATGGTGAAAGCAACACAGAGATGTTCATCTCTAAAAGTGCCATTATCATCCACTGATTCCAATACCAGCCTAAAGCTACCCCAAATCCCAGGCCACTGACAGCTGTAAACCTGAGTGTTCTGGTCCTGTCCTTTTAAATGAGAAGTTGCACACACAGTGGACACTGTACTCAGCTCAGAGTGCAGCAATCAACTATGTACAATCAGCTGCAATTGTCAGCTTTCTCAGTATTTATTATATAATCAGTGGGGCATTGGAAACCAAAAGTAAAAATCAATTTGAGCACTACTATCAGTTGAGAAAAAAAATCGCTAGGCTTGCTGCTGTTGACAAGCCCACACTGACTCAATAGGAATTGTCACAGAAAGAGTTATAAAGAATTGGTCCTGCCTCAGAGTACAGGATTTGGACCTCATAGTACCCTTCCAAAGTCTATTTGTTACCATTGCATTGCAAAAAAAATGTTTGTCATGCTATGGATCATGCAAGTTTGCAGGGACTTATTTTCCTTGCTACTCAGGAAGCCAAAAAAGTTAAGGGAGTATTTCTTCTTCCTTCTTCCAAGTGAAATTAACTTGGACCATTAGAATGATATCCTGGAAAGTCAGTTAGTTAGACAGTCCACGCTGCTCAAAAAAAGAAAATCCAGAGAATATTTTCAGTTCCTAAAAGCACACAGGAGAGAGAAAGATACATTCAAAAGAAATTATATAAAATGCTATATCTTTATGCTAATCTGTCTGCTGTTGGACATGTCAGAGACTGAAAGCAGTGAAAATTGCCTCAACTCTCATGCATTCAATAGATCTATTGTGATATTACTCCAGTGAATTTTTGGCCTCAACCAACTAGCCCTATTGGCTTGATCTGGCATTCTGTTCTTAATCAGCAGCAGGCCAGGACATATTGGGAATGTTTAGCAGCAGATAACAAATCTCATTATCTTCTCCCTTTCTCCTAATCTGTAATGTTAAAATATGCCTTACGTGACACTAGAAGACATAAGAACTACACAGGGAATGCAAGAGAACTAAGTCATTCCCATAGGATTTAAGTGCCCAGAATATGCCTGGAGATGTGTAGAGACATGGACATGAGAACATGCCTGGAGATACTGGAAGACTTAATTTTGCTTCCAAACAATGCAATGGCAGAGAAGTGATTGTCTTCTGAGCTCGGAGAGGAAAGGTAAGAAAAGCTTTTTAGAACTGTGAAGAGAGACCCCTCCACTTCAGAAGGGGGAAAAGAGTCAGGGAAAGTTAGGGAAAAAAGAAACTGAGGTGGCTGTACATATGTGTATCCATACACACATACCTAATTCTGCTGTGCCTCGCAGTACAGACACAGGTGGACACAACATCCCACCACACAACTGAGCACACACACTCCTGCAGTCCTGTCTCAGGACATGCACACTCCTCGACTGCCTCATTGCTCCGCCACTGCTCACCACTCATACACACATAGTATTGACCTGCTCATACTACTAGAAATGAAACCACCTCTTTACGGTTTATTTGCATACTTTTCCCTCTTCCTTCCTTTTCCACCTGGACGTGCTCAACAGGCATCTCTCTGGCAGCAGTGTTTAACATGCCTGCTGAGTCTATAAATTGAGGGACTCATAATAAGGAGTCTGTGTGCAAACCAGCAAAGTACCAAATCTGTGAAGTTGTAGAGTTAAAAATTCATGCAGGCCTATTCTTTCCCCACAACCTTTCCCTGTACACAGCAGTCCTGTATTCAGGCTGGGATCACCATTAATCAAAAAAGTACACGTGGCTAATGGACCTCTGCATCGCTGAGAGGTAGAGGAAAGCTTTTGGGTTTGCCCCCCTTCTTCCACTAAGAATTGTTGCATGCTCTCATTTCTGCTTCATTGAGCCAGGGGTTTTAGAGAGAGCTGAAAACCTGTTTTCTGTTCTGAAAAATCAAGTTGAGAACTCTCTGACTTAATCCTAAACTTTGTTGGTTCGTTCTGGGTTCATCCTCTTTGGGACAGACCAGATAAGGGGGGACAGCAAGTTGATGAGCTTTTGTGCTAAGCAAAACTGATGCTTTAACCACCTTCGTCCTCACTCCCAATTTGTAATACCTTCAATTTTCAGACAGATTTTAACAAGGCAGGTCTTCCCAGCCCTGGAGCACAGTAGAAAGCTGATGGCTGTGATGCTCAAGGCTCAGGATGCTAAAGTAGTACAAGAGTCAGTTTTATGAACTGTAGTAGTATAACGTGACCTGAAGACTGCCAAAGCAGATTAACAAGCTCCTCACTGTTCTCTGGCAGCTGGTATATACAGATCCTTCTTTCTCATAACCGATTGCTGACAAAGACATCAGTCCAAACAAGAAACCATCTCACCAAGAAAGAAAGGAAAGCATGTCTTACACAGGTTTGTACCTACACCTTGACACATCCCCCAGAAAGACTTTTTTGCCCTCCTCAACCTACATATGGGCGTGAGAAAAATCATCAGATGTCTCCCCAGCACATTATTAAACCAATGCCTTAAACAAGTCCCATGTCCCATTCCCCATTCATATGGGAAGCTGTATTCCACCTCACAGAAGCAGAGGGAGGATTTCAGACTGCAATTAGGATGAAGGCCTTGAAATCTGTGTCTGAGCAGATTCACATAAATGCATTCTCTGGAAATTATCCTGGGCTACTGAAGTCAGTGGGAGCTTGGTCACAGATATCAATGTGCACAGGATCAAGCACTAGAAGCAGGGTCACTCACTGATTTTGACAATGGTTAACGTAAGAGGTTAGAAATTAGGGAAACTTTAAATCTGAAGAAGAGGATACATGCAGTATTATTATTCCATTTTTAATATTGTTTGTATCCCACTATGATCATTAAAGAGTACTAGCATTATTCTGGAGTGCAGAAAAAGTGGAGAAAGAAACATAGCTGGAATTGGACAGGAAAAGCTGTAGTTTCCCCATTTGAAGGAACTACTACGCCCAGGAAGTTTGATTTTTTTTTTTAATTTTTTTTTCTTTTTTTTTTGAAATCAGACTCAGCTTATGCTTCTAATACAGTATTTTACCACTGGGCAGGATCTGGGCACATAAATCATTTTATATAGTAAGTACTGTACTGAATGCAAAGTTCCTTCTAAGGAGCTCCATCTGCCTAAAATATATTCTCATAAAGCAGCCCTTCAGCAAACAGGCCATTCTTATCACATATTTTGTTTCACAGCTTGCAGCAGCCAAGTGCCATGGGCCAGCACTGGTCCTACCTGCTGCTGGAAGCAAAAGGTTTACATTAACATCTGTCAAAGTAAATCTCAGCACAGATTCACAAAGGCATTTTGATGCTTTACACAAAATTTTCTGGCTTTGAGTCTCCCACCTTTAACATAATCACACCTGTTCCTCTGTAAAACTAACCTATTCACTTTGCAAGATACAAATGAGATGCTGCAAATGAGAAGGCAGATGGCCAGGTGGACATAGGCTCTATGAAGTCACACATTATGTGTTTTTTTGATTAAGCCTGCCCTGTGTATCTCAGTACCCAGAGAGCACAGAGGATTCCCATTCCCAGTGTGTGGTTCAAACACATCTGCTGAAGCAGGCTACAGCTTGATTTCTGAGCTCTTGATGAGCTTTTGGAACACTGAGTTTGTGGTCAAAGGGCAGTAGATGGTTTTCTCTTGTAGAAATAGGGAACTATACTGGTCTAAGTCTCAGGCCAGCATAATTTGCTCTACGTTTGCAGTTCAGGCACAGCTCTGCCTAGTTTTTCTATAAACCACTCAGTGTCTCCTTCTCCCATCCCAAAGTTTTTCAACTTACCTCTTGAATTTGTAGATTAAAAAAACAGCCAAGCCTACAAACACCACAGACAGCAACATCAGCATCGCAGAACTGCTGTGACCCGAGCTGGAATCAACAAGGGGTGCTGCAGGACGAAAAGCAGAGCATTATATTTTCATGATTTACAAGGGAACATATTAACTACCAGAGACTTGAGCTCAACTCTGTCTTTGTCACATCTGCTTTATCATCTGTGCATGGTGCACGCTGTTTTTGGAAAAACCAATCAGTAGGAAACAAATTGACTCTCTTGTCCTTCAAAAGTCAAGCCCCCTTTTCAAGACAGTGCAGTCTAACATCTCTGAGTGAAAAGGCACAGCAAGACATGCTTAGTTGAATGCCTGATCACTCCTGTGTTAACAGTCTGGGCTATTTCTTTTCAGGCTTTTCCAGGGACTGGAGTGAAAATGAATTTTATGAAGCGTGTCTTAATGCATGTGTATTCCCCTTTGCAGAAGCTACTTCAGAGCATCAATGAACAGTATGACTCCCATCTTCCAAGGACGTATGTCTGTCTCACATGTGACAGTCTTGTGAGAAGCCTCAAGGCTCATCCTGGTATTGGACCTTAGAGACTTTTAAATCGAGTCAGTTTTCATAATGTGGAGGAGCCCAAGCAATAATCCTGGACCCAAGCACACAATACATTATAACATTCTGGAGATTTGATCCATCAATCCTTGACATTTTCGGTGGTTTAAATACAGTATATTCCCATACCTTGTTTATGCAGCTATTCCCACAGCTCATCAGAGCACACCATCTTAATGGCCTGAGCACTGTGCTGAGAATCAAGTGTCTGATGAGAAGTCTCTAATGAGGCACAAATGATTATAAGTAGCAGCTGAGTGTTTCTCATTCTGCATAAATATTTGGTTTTGGTGTTTTACTATTCTCTATTCTTTTTCTGTCACCCTGAAGATGGGAACAAAGTCATGCAAATATAGTCACTTCTGATTTTGTTGCCAAATTTCCACACCTAACAATCTGATCCTGCCAATATTCTGCTACTTATACTTCTGACTGTTTTATGGAAAAGAGTGTCACTTCATCCAAGGCAAAATACTATGAGAATGGTCATGAAACAGATACAGTACCCACACCGGAGGGGGTGCAATAATAGTTGTGCAATATATGTTAAATGTGATGTCTTGCTAGAATAAATCCAAATTCTGGAGAATTCGAGCCACCTGGAGACTGCAGACATTTGTATCCCACTCCCAGTTTTTCAAATTAAATAATTCCATCCTACTCCTGTTAACATCTGACTCTCATCCCCAAACAGTGTTACAGAGTGAAGGTAAAAAGATATTACCTGTAGGGAAAGTCACGAGCTTTGATTTACCCCAGTTCTTGGCTCTCTCAGAGCCTCCCATAAAAAGAAGCTGAAGTGTATTACTGTGGAATAAGAATCCCAGTCTTTCAGAGAGGCTATCAGCAATGGTACTTGCACAAGATCCCACATTGCAGACAATTGCAAGGGCAGTCATAAAAAGCAAGGGCAAAATTAAATCCATCACCTTCTTTGTAACAATGACTGTCTCACCAATAGCTGAGAGCTTCACATCAGGGTAGTTTAAAGCAAAGGGGGTGACAGAGCTTAAAGTGACTGTTGGTTACTCTGTCCAAAAATGAAGATAGGTTGAAATTTAAATAAATTCCAATTTGTAGAAGTCAGTATTCAGGCACATATTCCCTGTAAGAGGCCTAGATCTTCCTTTCATGAGTACTTTGCCACTTTAAAGGTTTTAGCTAGTAATAATTGTAACAAGCCCTTTGCAATGAGGATTTGATCCAATATCCATGTAAGTTAGCAATATCTCCCCTGAATTCCACATGTGCCCAACGAGAGCTTTATAGAACACCATTCACCTGGTTTTCTAAAACACTTGAAAAACACCAATGCACTGGTTGATTAAACCATAGGGAACTCTTACAAGGTACTTTTTATACTTGTACAAACTGGAGCATGAAGATGCCCCTGATGGATTGTTTTTAACACTTCCTACTTCTACCACAATGCCTCGATATGATGAGTCCTATGTGTCCCAGTAGCACATACCAAACTCTGAGTGCTCTGATGTAAACTGGTTGTCCTGGAGTTGTCTGAAGCCTCAAGAGAACCACAGCTAGGCATTTGACTACACACTCACCTAATGTTAACTGAGTGACATACACAACGACTTCAACACCAGGCTTCAGTTCAAACTGGACCAGGTTCTGGTTGAGAGCATTAAAAAGGATTTCTACCACCTGAAGAAATAAGAAGAGGTACAATAGTTACAATATAGAAGATAGCAAAGTCTGGAGAACATTCAGGAATGCACATAAGCCTAGAAAGGTGGCTAATTTCTCTTAGTGCTTTCAGGAAGGACTGAGGAAGTGGAAAGATGTATATGTGCTCTATGTGAAACTCAGTGTTATTGTGTGCAAGTCTCCCTTACAGGACTTTTGAGACTTACACAGTATGTTGTTATATCTCTCCTGAGGAGCAAATGAAGAGGGTTAGCAAATTTTTTTTTCTTTTCTGGGGAGGCTACAAGAGGAGGAGGGAAAATAACTAAGGATCTTTTTACCCTCGACAATATCCTGTGAGTTTGATCAAATGCATTTGGCAATCACTGACCTATTGGCCTTTTATTGGTGGATAATGGAACTAAGTTAGTCCCAACTTACACTTCTTTATTCATATTGATCCTCTCATATAGCTTCTATTTAAATAGGCTGTTGGAGAGATGAGACAATCCAGTTTTTAAGATTAGTGGAAAATTTGCCATATTTCTCCATCATTTAGAAAAGCAGCCTTAGACTGTAATTTACTGGAGTTGCTGAGCTGGGATATCAGCAACCCTGCTATGACGTATTTATTTGGTCGCCCCAGAGCACACACTTGGCATGTCACACTGGAACCTGAGTTTGTTAATTCCTGATCTCCATAGAGTAGTTCTCATAGACAGGGCACAGCTACTGAGTAGTCTTGATAACCTACTCTCCAGGGCAGAGCTCCTCAAGCAGAAGCCAACAACAGGTGCCAAGGTACAACTGAGTAGACTGTCAAATAAAATTAGAGCACTAGAGCTTCAGGCCTCATGCCCACTTAGTCAGAAACCTAACTGAGGTGTCAGCATAAGACTGATATATGAAATATTTACACAATAGCTTGTTCAGATGGAGTTCTAGTACTGACAGGTCCTACTGAACAGGATAGACATGACTCCCAGAACACCTTCTCCAAAAAATCTTTCAAACCTTCCCAATTCAGTGCATCTCTTCTGCACTCTGAACACCATAAATTTGAGAGGCCAGCTTTGCTAACTTTCTAGGACAAAAGTACTACTCTGCAGGAACTGACTTTACTCAGTGGGTGATAAGAACTTCCACTGAATTCAGTAGTCCTCTGAATTATTTAATATTTGATCACAGAAAACTTAGTCTTCCAAGAGTTATGTGGCACTGGGCTTACCCATAGCTTGCACGCTGCTGCATAGCTTGTATGCAGCACTGTAAAAATGCTGCATACAAGAACACTAGCTAGAGCTAAGCAGCCTTTCCAGCAGCAGTACTTCACTCCTTTGCCTTTGTAGACTTGATTTAATCACTTGGTAATTCTAACATGAAAGCTTCAGCAGACTAATGCTGTTGTTCCTAGCTCTTTCCTTGCCTGCATATCACTGTTGCTATTCATCACCGTAATTACCTATTTATCTAAATGGATGGATATTGTAACTTCCAAATATAGTTTGCACAGGACATTCGCTGCTGCAGAAAAAAAAAAAAAAAAGAGGTCTTGTTCCTGTGATATATGAGCTGAAGAGCCTGATTTATTTTTAGTAAACCTCAGTATATTATCTTGCTGCTTTGGCCTCTGTCTATTAGCATTCCTCCAGGGAGTAGAGGGAGTACATATTCAAGGTTCCTTTGGCCATAACTACCGTAATAAGGACACACCACTGATTTAGTAAGAATTTCTTCTAGTGGTAGACTGTGACATATTTCAGTGAGGTATTAGAAATCCTGTTTTTCCTCTGAAAACAATTTTCTTTAATGCCATAAACTATAGCACCACAGTCCCAGACGCATCCGTTTCCACCACACTTATTGTAAGTATTTCCAATGCTGCACAACTTAAGGAGCCCATCTGCAAATGATACGACAGGAATAAATGTTCCATTAATTCTTCTTTCCTTACTTGCTCTAGATCAGCCTCACTGCTTTTCCTCCTCTCTGTTGTGTTTTTATGAGGCAGTATGAACAGTTCAGCAGAAGTAGGTAGTCCAGGAAACAAAGCTACCAAGACCTGTTCATCAGGGATACCAGTCACCTAAAAAAAAGTAAAAGAAAAGCAAAAAGGAGGGCTCTAGCTGCTATTTTGTTAGTCATATTTCTATTCACTACCAGAAATGGTGCTGCCGTTAAATTTTTATTTGCCCATTCCAGTGTAGGTGTTACGGTCCTAAGGAGCCGGTCTGCCCATTTAGTGGGTCAGAAATTGAAGTTCTGCTAAATATCCACTCTGCTTCCTTTCTAGAAGTAAATGTAGGCTTGACAACATCCCTAGACCCAAAGATCTCAACCCAAAGTCCAGACACAGAGTGCCTCCAGGTCTGAATTTTCCATACAGTTCTTGCTACAAAAGAATGACCCAAACTCAGATCCAGAGAGTGTCTCAGAGTGACCACTGGTGAGTGTGCAACTAACAAGGACATATGAAGAAAATTGCCTGCAATCACTTTATATTATCAGGTTGTGGGGATCCATATTTGCCATACATGAATAACCATGTCCACAGTGGGAGATTTTTTACTACTGTGGCTGATCAGGAGGGCTGTGCAAGGGGCTGCTCAGTCTACTGAACCAAGAGTACCTGACGCTCACAATTGCCTTCAGCACGACCTGCCCACCAAGGCTGCTGCCCTCTCTCCTCAAATCCAAGCTGTGCATCCTCCATAGGGCAGGAAGCCTCCCCTCCCTCAGAAATGCTCAGCTACCTGAGGTTAAGTCAATTAGCCCTTTGGTCCTATCCCACCTCGAGCTCCATGGCCTCATTCATGAGCTGAAATATATTAGCAGGGCATACCATTCCCGGTGGGATACACAAGCAAGCACTTCTACAAGATTTCTACTGTTCTCTGTAACCCTTCATAGTTACAACCTAATTAATCTCTTTTTTTCCTGCAAGCTTGACTCTGAATACAGTAAAAGGGAACAACAGTTTAAAAAAATTAACTTAGTGTTTTCTCAGGATGAAAAAACAATGTAGGAAATCTTATAAACTGTGAATTTTGAGTGGGCTGCAGATGAGAAAAGCTGAGCAGGTTTGTACTTTCCCAGTAAAAATAATCAGCCTCCATTTCTAAGAACAGCTGTAGCTGAAGAAAAAAAAGCAAGATACATTTTTGGCAGGATGCAAAACCCACAAAAGCTTGTCTAAATCTATCTCCTGATTTCATACAAAACCAAAGTCCCTGACTATTTGATATCATAAATTATTCTGTCCCCTTTCCTGCAAGAATATGAGTACTAATTTACATATTCTAATTAATCCCAAAGGAGGATTCAGTATTCTTCCTACCCACAGAAGTCTCTCTTTATCCTGTATTTTAAAGGTAAGTTTATTTTCACTCTGAATTCTTTTTTTTTTGTCCCAGTTGGAAAGGGAGTAGAGCTCTAAAATGTTCAGTTGCTACACGTAGCTGCATGTGGAACTCCTGACTGAGTATCAGGAAGAGATAAAAATATCTTCCTCATGCATCCAGCCTACTACAATGCCTGTCTTCTGGGATAAGGTAGATCAGCTGTTTAACAACATGCAGTAACACTAACCAAATATTTGGAGTAGAAAACAGTAGATACTGTCATATCAATTTGTCAAGATAAAAATAATGACAATCAAGAATTTGCAAAATCATCAGGGATATTAAAAGCTAAAAAGTACCACAGAAATATTAATAAAAGTAATTGTAATATTTCCACAAAATTACCAATATAATTTGCCTCTGTAAAAAGATCCAGCACACTAAGAAGCTTTTTATTGATTTTTAATGATAGCTTCATTACTGCTGTCCTTTCCCGTTCTTTTAAGCTAGTATGTCAAAAAAGTGCATGTTTTAACCACCTAGTCAATATTAGTAGACACAAGGAAACAAATGCTCACCTGTACCAGTGCTCTCTTGATGACTTTCCCAATGTCTTGTCTCCATTCAGGGATGTCAGGGTTATGGTAGTCCAAGTTGGGAGAAAATGAAAGGAGCTGAGATTGGAAATACTCTGGAATAAAATTAAATGGGCAGTGTTCAGGGTACAGATAAGGATACAGAAGACAACAGGAAGACCATAATTATCTTAAAGCAAGAGAGAGAAAAGGCTGAAGGAAGAAAAAGGCTGGCTAACACTAAGCAGGACGGAAAGCTTGTAAGGAACAAATTCTTATAATGGTTCTTAAAAAGGACATTTTGCCATAATGCCAGCCTCTGGCTTTCCCCAAAGAAACAGAAGCAAGAATGAGAGAGGTGAGGAGATGTCTTCCCTTCATGATGCCTCTGAGCTTTGCAATTTTGCCACTCAGCTTTGTCAGATTCTGCTTGCAAGGAAGTTGACCAGAAAATAAGGCAGCACCTGGCTGAAATTTGGAAGGTCTGTATAATTGTATGCATTGTGGTCTGCAGAGCAAACACTTGCTGTAAGTAATGTTTTCAAAAGCATATTATCTGTTTGCTCTCCTGGAGGGAAGCCATGAGTGGTTAATATCCCAACAAAGCAGAACACAGTGGTGCTAATGACTGGCTAATCAAGCAATGGCTATTCACAAAACACTTGGAAATTGCTTCCTAATTGACTGATTGCTGGGAAGAAGAAAAACTTCCTAGACTTCAAATAAAGAACAATTTTATTTTTTTTTCCAATTCCAACTCTCCCCTCTGGTGTCACCAGACACCAAGCCTGGAGTCCTTATGACAGCTGTGCACAATGGATTTGGGCCAGTGGAAGGCACAGATCCAGGACAGGAATCAAGCTCAGATTTAAGTTATCAGGGCAGAAGACTCTCCTTTATGTTTCTGGAGATGTGCTGTGCCTCACCTTGAAGCAACTGATCTCCAGGCTCTTCAAATAAGTACCGTTAATCATTTGTAAGAAGGCACTAGTTTTAGATCAAGATAAACCAGCCAGAGTATAAATGAGGAAATCCACAGAATAGCAGGGATGTGCCAGCACAGCATTTATTTGGCATCTTTTGCAAGATCTGTTCTTTCTGTCTAGATAGTGCAGTATCTTTTTAAATAAAACAAGCACCAAAGAAAGCAGGGAACCTCTCTCAAGTTCTGAAGGTTTATCCCAGAGCCTGATATATAAAATCTACTTTTGACCCCTCAGTACCATGTCCAATTTATTTTTTGAGCAAATTCTTCTCTGTTAATCTCAATTTGAGAAAATCCTGGATAAATCTCCTCCACTGATAGCACCAGAAATCCATACCTTCCTGCCTAGAGCCATAATCACTTGACATAGGACATGAGGGTACAAATTTAGCAAAGTGCATGTTTACTAAACGTGTCACTCATTTATGTACTCAGATTTGAATTGATCACCCGACTGGGGGATTGGAAGGACTCCTTCCCTAGACCAGGTCATTCTACAGCACAGCACTGCATAGGACTATTTGGACATTTCAACTGGGTCAATTTCTCTTTGCATTAAAGCCAAAAGATTTGGATCTTTTAAATAGAATGGCAAAATTTCTTCCAAGGTGTTTAAAAACAGAGTCAGGAGAACACTCTCTGGGACATACTGGGACAAAAGATTGAGATCACCTGTGGGGATCCCTCTTGGATATGCCTGATTCAGGTTTATTCCAGAAACTAGTAGAAAGATGGAAATTTCCCAAAAGTAAGCACTGCGTTTGCAATGCTCAAAATCATCAAGTTACTAATACTTGCTAATAGCAAGTTTGGGTATTATTGAATCATATTAACAAATTATTAAAACCCATTTTATTTTATGGTCAGACAATCAATAAATATCTATTTAGCTGGTTGCTAAGTCTGAGAATACAGCGGCACATTTATATGTATTTAATTACTGAAACAAGACACACATAGTTCAACTACACAGTGCTGGACTTCAAATCAAACCAAGTTATTTGAAGCCCAGGTCTCTCACTAAAACTTGCTATCCAAAGAAAAGCTTGTCCTCAAATGTTGTATGCGACTAACTGGATAAGGAAAATGAAGACTGACCCAGGGTGGAAATTATTCTCTGGAGAAATCTCAAAGTCCTGGCCAGAGCTGCTGAGATAGCCCTTTCACTCAGGATTTATCAAGCCCCAAACAGGGTAACCTCTGTGGTTGGCCAAATGGTGTTTTTTGGAGCCCATGGAATGCAGATACAGCAAGAACGTACCAAACATTACCCACAGGGAAATCCCATGGGCTCACTCAGACCTCCAGCTGTGACACGGAAGATGGGCAGAGATAGCAACAACAGCCATTTCTGTCCCCTCTTTTCCAGACCCCTCCAGACTCCTGTCATTTATACAATCACTGATAGAGAGAGACACCAGGTGCATTCAGACCACCTTAACGGTGAACTATGACTATTTCTTTCCACAGCTGGGAAGCTGAAGGAAGGCAGTCTGATTGCAGCTCCAAGTGTTTTTTATTTTTGGGAGTTGCCTGTCTGGGTGTACAGACAGACCAACAGGCAAAGGAGACACCAGCCACCTTACTATTGCTGAGTTTACAAATTTGGCTAGCTGCCACACCCTATTCACTTCTGTATTCTGTCATCATGACACATCTTTGTCATCAGAGGTTTGTCTCCAGAGGTTCCTCCAGACACTTATTAGTTCCCAGAGTTCATTTTGGATCAGCAGTGTCTGTCCATCTGTGCTTCAACCCCCTAAGACACAACTCTGAAAAGCTGAGGGTACCATGCACTGCGATCTCCTTGGTGTCTTGGATGAGGGTGTTGCCTCCAGCAACTTGCACAGTTACAGTGTTCGTCCCCTCCACAGTGAACATGTACGAGATGCTGCTCTCCAAGGTGATGAGGGGCTGTAAGAAGCAAACAAAGATGGCAATATCAAAATCAGGGTGAGATTAACTCAGGATCACAATGTGCACTTTAATCTACCAGGTAACAACATCCTTCCTCCCTGGTACAGGCATGGTGCTACAAGCTTGCATATCCTGCCAAGGAATAAACATGGCTCAAACACAACCCTGTGAGAAGTGTCGCATAGGCAGAGGTTTCTCTCACTTCAGCGAACGCTTCCCGAAATATTCTTCCACTGAACTGCAACCCATTATACTGTAGACTTCTTGATAGAACACAGTTGGCAATTGCAGAGTTACTGCTGCAGAATGCAATGTTGTACACACATAGATACACACACAGACACACACACACATTCACCCAGCACAGTTGCTATATCAGCTGCCCGAAACACAAGCTCAAATTGAAAATAAACCTAATATGCAGATGCTTCTTCAAACAATCCATATTGTTCAGATTCAGGGCCAGTCTCTGCTTTTATGAGAATAAATCCATTTATTTATCACAAAGCAACACTGCTCAGGTCAGAGTGAGGACATCCAGCATTGCCCTGTCCATGCTTTGAACCTGTAAGCCAGCTTCAACCATAAGCTGGCAAACTGTGCTAACCAGGCTGAAAGCACAGCATAATTCCTGCTGACAATGCTGACTGAATGTGTCTGTGGAAGGGACCCATGCTGGAGCAGTACCTGAAGAACTGCAGTTCATGAAGAACTGCAGCCCATGGGAAGGGCCCACATTTGAGAAATTCATGGAAAGCTGTCTCCCACGGGACGAACTCCCTCCCATAAGCAGGGGAAGAATGTGAGGAGTCCTCCCCCTGAGAATGAAGGAGCAGTAGAGACAATGGGTAATGAATTGACCACAGCCCCTATTCCCTGCCTCCCTGCACTGCTGGGGAGAGAGGAGGTAGAGAATTCAGGAGTGAAGGTGAACCCAGGAAGAAGGAAGGGATGGGGGAAGGGGTTTTAGGATTTGGTTTTATTTCTTATTATCCTACTTTGATTTAATTGGTAATAAATTACACTAATCTCCCCAAGTCAAGGCTGTTTTGCCCATTACAGTAATCAGTGATCACTCCCTGTCCTTATTGTGACCTGATTTTTTTTATATTTTATGTCTCCTGTCCACTTGAGGAGGGCAGTGATAGAGAGGCTTTGGTGGGCACTTGATGTCCAGACAGGGTCAACCCACCACAATTGAAAATCAAAGGGCCAACTCTCACAGTGCCACTGATTTGACAGATGGTCTCCAGACAAAACTCTTAGTTTAGATTAAACCATTAAAATGGGAATAGTTATACTAATTGCACACAGAGATCTAAGAGAACAGATAAAGCCATTGTACCATTGCTATTGTCCCTTCACTACACTGCCAGTTTGTTTCCAGAGGAAAACCTCTAAACATTCACCTTCCAGCTCTCTTGCTTTATCCTATCAGACTGACAACCTGACTGCACTTCACAACAGTAGTCATATATGCCATTTTCAAAGCCAAATCAAAATTTCCACCAGCATAGGCCAGACTGGCAAACACGTTTCTCTCTTTGTAGAATGCCACCTTCTTTTCACTCCCTCATCTATGAGATGAAAAAGCAGTAAAAAAACAAAAAGTCTGAACACATGGGACTCAGACCAAGGGCTCCAGCTTGTACCAGCCCTAAAGGCCTGGCCAACATTTACTTAGATATACGTGGATCCTGGACAAGCCCAATGGGCCTGTATCAAACTGCAGTGATATTGATATTAGCAATCTTCCTGGAGGTTACAGGTTGTGGCTCTGTGCAAAGGCAGATAAGAGGAAGCAATCTGGCCTTTAAAATTACAATTTTTCCTTTTGGTATGTGTGTATGCTGTACATTCCATTATCATGGATGATTTCACCTCCATCATGGAGTTTTAACATTCAGCCAACTCCTTAATTTTAATTCAAGCACCAAGACCTAGATGCTAACTCCAAATTAAATTAAGTAGTTTAAGGTTCATTTGCTCAAACCTATTAGACAGCTGGATACATTAAACTGGACCTGTGTTAATCCAAGCAAATTGGCCTTTGAGCATACTGCAAAAATCAGCACAGTAGAAGAGTTCCAGCAGGGTGGGGAGAGCAGTAGAAGAGCCTCAGCCAGAGCACTTGAGTCTAAGACAGAATTCACCAGTGCAGGAGCACAGAGAGTGAGACTGCACAGTGACACAAGACACATCCAGTTCTGTCTGGGATTGCTGTGGGCTGAATAGGAAAAGCAGCTGCAATCCCTCAGCATGGAACTAGAATATATCATCTAACAATGCCAGTCACTATGCACAATATTACATACCTCATCCTTTAATTCACACACAAATCAGTGTCCCCGTTTTCCACTTCTGCATAGAACACCAGAGTTTATTCATGAGTGGGCACAGAGAAGAATCTGACACGCACATAAAACATCCCAGAAGGAATTTGGATGTGGTGCAGACTGTTGTTTTGAAAAAAAGGGTGGCTGATACTGTTATGTCTATATCCTTTGCCATACTTCTCTCAGAGTTGAAGTACATTTGATGAGGTAGCTGGAGTTAATGCTTTGGAAAGAATCTTAGATTTGGCCACAGGTAATTGGCATCATGTTTACTATTCCATATTTCAGCAATGTGTGCAATCATGCCAGCTACTCCATGTACAGCTATGTCCAAAATGTCTATCCCAAACACACCCATATCTGTTTGTACTCTGTTGCCTATGGTCTGAAATTTAAGCTAGAAGACAAAACAGATCATATTTGCAATCCAGGTGCAAGCACCATGAGAACTGCACAGAAATCTTCAGCAGTAAACACCACTACTTTCCTCTACCTTTTTCAAATTACTTTCCATTACAAAAAATCTTTCTTAAGGCCCTAGTCACAATCATCTTCTATATTAAGGACTAAAACAATGGAAGGAAAAGTCTGATGCCTGCATACACTGGAAGGCTTAAGCAGATGAGCAAGTTACCAGTACCTAAATTGTTTCAGATTTAGTTTGATGGCTGATTGTGTGTGAGCACTGAGCCAAAAATATCTGAACTGTAATGTGATTTTGCATCCCTCTGTTTCAGTGCAGTATAAACTATGTGGAATTACCTGGTACTTGTCATGGACTAGATGTGGTTGCCATAGCTCGGCTAGGGTACAGCAACTTGCCAAGTTACAGTAAGAGGTTTTTGTTCCTGAGCTCTTCCAGTGCCTCAATTACGCTCCCACAAAAATAATCAAGTTCTTACAGTAAGCTTCCTAACTTGATGTAAAATCTCCATAAACTCAGCCTTTCCTGTTCCCCCCCCCGCTAATGTTTGTACCTAGGGTAAGAGGTTAAAACTCAAGCAGCTTTGTCAAAGAGAAAACAAAATACTTGTTTGCCTGCTATTTTTTATCTCAAGTTCCATATTTCATGTAAAATCCTCGTTTCTTTCTGCTGTGATCTCACCTCAGAGTACACCTTCAATTGCAAATGTAGACAATGATGTGACTTGAACTGCTTTTGTAAATAACAGCAGATACTACATTGCAAAATTTTCATCTATACAGTTCAAGACTGTAAGAATAGAGAATAGTGCCTGTCTCACTCCTAAAGCCTAAAATAAAAATTGTAGCTAATAAGCAATCCTGCTCTCTCCATTTGAAACATGGCATTAACTTGTAGTTTCACTTACTTTAACTATTGATAAAAAGGCTTTTTTTGATACATTTGTGCCCATCTTTTGAAAATTTGCTACAAAGAAATCGCATCTCCCTCTCTAATACATTCCAGACTGTGAACAATAGTCATGGATCGACCCAAACAGTTCATTCAAGCTAGACTCTTCTAGCATGAAATTCTAGATGCAACTGTTTATTTGAACACCAAGAGCTTTAAAGTACTGCGTTGGAATCCAGCATTATATACTGCATACTGGTACATTATGGAAACCCCCATGGTTATTTGAACACCAGTAGTTTTAAAACAATGTGTTGAAAGCCAGTATTATTCCATATAGAGTGGTATATAGTTCAGTTAAGTTGCAAGTGAACATTGGTAATAACAGTGGTCTCCGGAGCTCAGTAGGGCTGATAACAACCAGGTGTAAAAAAGTAATGACTCCTAAGAACAACACAATACAGGAGGCAATAAATTCACAAAGGTTGAAGTTCAGATAATGACAACCCTTTTTAGACAAGGAAAAAACTAAAATACAAAACAAGCAAAGATGAGAAGTTTTTATTAGGGCTGAGAGAGTTCCCTGTCTGGTGGGACAAGCTTGGGAAGTGAAAATAAACCGAAGGGTATCTGTACCTTGGTGCTGTTGCCAAACCACCAGAAGTAGGTAAGTGTGCCTGCCTGGCTGGGCCAAACTACAGCAGTAATGTTGACATCCTTATTTCTGATGGCAACAAAGGGAACACTCAGATGGACGTGCTCCACTGGACCTGTGGGAAGAGAGAGTTCATTATTTGAGCCTTTGAGTTAAATCTTCCCTGCACAGTTATGAACAGCAAGAGTCTTTAAATGAATCACATGTTCTGTGTCAGTAGCAAGACTCTCGTTTAGCAATAAAAGAGAATTTCAGCAGTCAATAAGCAATGGAAAAAGATAGATTAATAAACACTAAATCTTATTTTTTGTTTCCTCTTAATTCTAGAGTAGCCAGAAATGCACATTTTCCAGAGTGCTGATTTCAGACAGGGTCAGCACTGTGTATAGAAGAATTCTTTAAAATGCATTTTGTGGAATAACAATGATCTGGCTTTGCACTAAATAGGGAATTTTCTATTGAACGCGAGAGGGATAGGACACAAGAGAGAAAGAAAATATAGCCACTGAGCTACTAAGATTTGTGGGGAAATCATTTTAGCCAAGATGGCTTAAATCTGGTTATATAAGAGGCATTTATGACTTGATTAAATACCCCTGGCAGTTTTTTAAAAGGTCTCCAAAAGAAAGATTTATGATTTTTAGAAATCCTTGGTATGTTTTTGACTTTGGCTGACTTTGGGAAGTGTTTGGGGAGTCAGTTACCACTAGCAAAAAGTCATGAACTACTTGAAAGAAATATGCATTTGTGTACCAAAGCATTTAACTTTCAGAAGCACTTGTTTCTGAAAGATTTAAAAAAATAACAAAGTACCAATGCAAAGTTCTATCTAATAAATGCAAACACCCACAGTAAACCCAATGAATGAAGTCCAGAATTAAGACAATGCCTCTCTAGAAAAAACAACAGGAGTAAAAAATACTGAGGTTTTGTTTGATAGTTTGTTTAAATCTTTTACTATCTCCATTGTTCTAGTTCTCATTTAATCTTTTGTTTTTGCTGGTACTGAATTTCAGCTGATAACTGCTGTCCATCAGACAGTGCTACCTTCTGAGTAGTACCTTTAAAACACCTTAAAAACTGACAGACTATCCCTGTGAGATGGAAGGGATGAAATAAGAAAGACATGTTTTTCTAAGACATTCATTCTGGGAAGCAGAAACTTTGGTGATTTTTAACTGAGAATATCTTCTTGTGTTACCTCTCAGCTCTTCAAGCATGAAATGGGGACATTAATCACTTCTCCATCTACTTGGATTACAAAGATTTTGGATAGCAAAAGCTGTTCTTTTACCACCAGAACATACAGTTCCAAGCACAATGGGACACTATTGTTGCTTTTGACTCCTTAAAATTTGATCTTTTTTTTCCCCCCTTTTCCCAGGGGGTGTCTACCACCAAGTCACTCCTGAACTCTGATCATAGAAAGTACTTTGGGTGCTCAAGAATAGCAGGTTCCCCAAATAGTTTGTGACAGTGAATGTAAGAGAAAAAACAATAGTATCTCTGCTTCCTTTAAATGTCAAGATAAGCAGCTTGACAGCAGATTCCAGAAAGCTGAAAAGTTGACTAATAAAGTTGCAAGGTAGAAAACTAATGTTACTTGAGGCCGAGGAGCTTTTTTCTCTTTTCATTTTTTTTTTTTTATTTTCCAGCAGAGGATTTCAGTACCAGACAGATCATATAATAAGAATGATTCACAGGCATTTTTGTCTGTACGTTTGAGCTTCAAGGTCAAACGTCCTATATTGACTGGTACATCAAACTAAATTAAAAGTCATCTTATTTCAGCATTAGCATGAATGTAAGAGTTTGCAAAATATTTCCCTAGAGATAAGGATAAGCTGGCTAAGAACACTATAAAAGTCAAAGGAGAGATCTGAGTAGCTGATGAAGAAAACAGTGGAGTAGCACAACCAGGCCAAGGAACTGTCCTTTGTTGCATTCTGCTTTAAAATCCTCACCATGAAAAAGTAGTTCCTATGAGAAAAATCAGACAATCCATACAAATCTGGTTGTTATTACCAAGTAACCATCACTTTTGTCAGCTAATGGCCCAAGGTGAAGGTAAAAACAGTTAATGCTCTAATAACAGGTTGTTAAGTGCAACCATGATTGACTTTGAGGGAATTATGGGCATAATAAAAGCTTCAAGGAACATTTATTCCTTCACACAGGGAGCTCGAATGTAAAAAGGAGAAAAAGTTCTTGAGTTTTAGAAATTTCTAACTTGCTACCTTCCAGCAGGAAAGCTCAAGTAAAAGATAGGCTAGGGGACATTCTAACAGGTAAAGAGAGAAGACAGAAATGGCTGTGAACACCATTAGGGGTAAAACCAGATGGCATTCTCTGCCCAGAAGATCTGATAGTCTGAGAGCAGGACAAAGAACAGGGTTGTTCCTGTTTCATCCTGAATTCCATACCCTCTGCTTTCTCCTGTGGCTTTGAGAAGTTGGTTGTATTTGAGTTTGCTCATGTGTCAACTGGAGGGAAATTGCACTGATTTACCAAACAGGACGGAAACATCAGGGATGCATGGCAAACTCATGAAATATGAAAAGCAGCCCATTAGCCCTCGGCACGTTCATATCCCAGGAAACATGCTCAGCATAATCTTTTATTTCATTTAATAAGCACTGTAAACTCAAAAATCCTGAATAAATGAATCAAATTTTAGTAGTTTAATCTAAACCTCTTGGAATTAGACACATTTTGAGAATACTCATTTAGACTTTGTTTCATATGCTGCTTGGTCTCTGAACCTTTCAGGAAGACCAAGAAACTTTTTTCTGTATCTCTGAAGACTGTAAATATACTTGTGTTTAAAAAAAAAAACCTTCCCTTTATCTCAATTCAATAATTTATTTTACTATCTAGAAGAGTGCCTAAAAGGCCAAGACTTCAGAAGAGCATGAGCTGCATGTGTATGTGGTTTTGCAGGTATACTTAGGCGCCACTGAAGTTGCAGGGATTTTCAGTGAAGTCAGATTTCACCCAAGGAATCCAGCAGGTGGAAGTACTTACAGACCACATGCAGGAAGAGGACAGCAGTGTCAGAGCCCAGGCTGTTCTCTGCATATGCTGTCACCTGGAAGATTCCAGCATTCTTATACACATGTCGGATGCCATCCTCAACAGGGCTGAAATTAGCATAGGATACAGCAATGCCGTCTCCAAAATCAAGCTGAATGTTAGTCCTTTGGAGATCACCCTGCAACAGAGAAGGCTTAATTAGGAAACTGGGTTGAAAAGAGGGATTTATATTACTCTGCATCCTACTTCTCTGTTCCATTTCATTAGCACATACATAAACTTGTAACTTTTCCGAAAAAGCCTAGCTTTGTTCTGTCATTTACCAAAGTGGCCAGACTCTAGTCAGCAACTGGTAATTATATACAAGCAATGCTTAGAATAACTGATCATTTACACCTATAAAGAGATGTTACCCTCCATCCTGGGTTTAAAGATTTGGGGAGGGCAGAGTGTTCAATGTGCACATATAAAGTGTTCAATGTGCACATATGTTTGAATCCTGTAATACAAGGCATGGTGGGGGATTAAGTGTCACTGGAGTGGTCAGGGCTTTCCACAGCCTTTTTTTGAATTGGTGGTTGCCAACAAGTCCCTCATCAGAAGCAGTGAGATGGGAGACACTATGCTGGTGGTAGGTTAGATGTTAACGGGAGAGCAATTCCCATGTGAACATGGGAGCATTGGGAACACTCTGGAGACAGGACAATGGTTGAAGTGGCTCCCCCATACATTCCAAAGACATAGAACCTAGTCACTGAGTCTAGCCTTATCTAGTTTTCCAGGTTTCCTGTACAGTCAGTGAAAGAGAGAGAAAGAAAAGACCAACACTCCATCCTAAAATAACTGAGACAGGTAACATGAATCCCCTGCAAATATCCATTCCTATACCCTGATGATAGAGAGTTTAGAAGACTAGTTTCAGCTAGACATGTAACTTCAGGATGGCTGAATTTATACAGGTTGAGTCTCACACTGAGGACTGACAGATTTTTCTGTCTAATGTCAGTCAACACAAAGACAGGGCCTAGATACACAGGAGAATGAAGTAGATGATGAGAAAATCTCTTCTAGGATTACTGTCAATGACAGTTATTAAATGAAGGAGAGAAAAGCAGACAAGAAATTCCAGCACTGCAGGTATTGTCTAGAGGCAGTAGTTGCACTATTTTAATTTAATTCATGCTTTAAACTGCTGTAGTTGAACTGTAGAAGTATCTGTTATTTCAGTTTCTTGGAGCCTTACTTTATACTTGCCCCCAGCTGACTAATGGTAACACTAAACAAGGCTAATTTAAACAGAGCTAAAGCCCACTGCAGCGATTTCACTAAACTGAAAAAAACTAGAACTCAGATAAAATCTCTGTAGCTTTAGCTTTCTGCATATAGATAAGATGTATTGTCACAAGTCCCTTTAATGAAAGGTCTCCACTTTATTCACTATGGACGAAGAAGATATCACTACCTTTTGGAGATGTTCCTAACCCCAAACTGAAGCCGATCCCTAGATATATTGAGGATGAAATTAAAAGTTTAAAGAAAAAAATTGAAAAATCCCTACTCCTAAGGTAACCATTTTTTTAAATAGGGAATACAGAAATATTTCACAGCCATCTCATAAAGCCTATTATAGCTGTAAACACACAGGGTCAGGATCAAAGCTAATGTGCAGTTTTAGCACATACTGATGTAAGGAAGGGAAGCAACCTTATCTCTCACTGACGATTCTGACAAACCTCCAATCCCTCCACAGCCAGCTCAAATCCTGCAGGGTCCTAAATCCACTGGGCTCACTGAAAAGGACCACGTCACACTCATAAAAGATTTTTCATATGATCTGAACACATTCATACACAGCACAGATCCATTTTGGTTTATGACTTCTTACCACACCAGGACATGGAAAAAGAGGTCCTTAAATCAGGATTAAATAGCTGTCGAGCTGTTCTGTCCCACATGGTCAGCAATTCAGACCAAAGGTGCACAACAAAGGCACACGTGGAGACAGAAACATTCATTAAAGGCAAGGGGTTCCAGTTCTTGCCTTCCACTGACTCCAGACTGACTCATGGGAGCTGCTGTCTAACTGGTAACTGCCATCAGCCTGTAGAAGTGGCAACTGCTATACTGACACAAGCAGGATGCTATGTTCTGCTACTTGTCCCTGTCCTGAAAGTGCATCTGACCTTGCCCTTTGAATGGAAACCCACAATGAAACCCACAAGAACACAGACCACAATGAAGCAGGTCCCCTGTGAAGGTGATCAGGACCACAGCAGCCCCCACAGACTTCATCCTCCTCATAGACTATACCTGCATTAACAAATCAGTGTGCAGGAAGGGTATTTTTCAGATGTGAATTTGCTTTGAGTCTATACTAGGGGTCTTCAGATACAAACCCATATAATCAGGATTATTGCATGTAGTTTCTGAAATATGGATATTTGATTATATATGTTAGATCACTCTCCTTCCTTGCTCCATCATTCACATTCCACAAGAGTCAGGGGAGTTTTGGCTACTGAGTTGATCAGGGCACCCTTTTCAACTCTGCCCTTCTAGGACATTAAAAATCCAGTATAAACTGAAAAGAATACATGGAGGACTAGAGCGGTAGGGACACTAAATCCTATCTATAATATTGAGTAGTCAATAACATTCTTTAGACAGAGAGGTTTTTAAGTCACTAAAAAAATCCTCTAGCAGGAGCAAAATGACACTCTTGGGATATTCAGGTATTTGATAGAAAGACTCCCATAGCTTGTTAAACCTTTCAAAATCATTTCTCAAGGGAATGTATTAAGACTGCAAGTTCATCTCATATGGAAGACACTGAACAGAGGATAAAAATGTGATCTGGGCTGGATTCATAACCGATGACCTCAGGCTGAAATCTCTTGCACCAATCACAGCAACTCATCTCCCTTGCTCTTTTCTATTTTCTCCTTGCTTCTTCAATATGATTCTATCCGAAATAAGAAGGTTTCAAGTAGAGAAGCAGGAACAGATTTTTTGTGACTAAGCAGTAGCTGATGATCTTCCCATCCAGTTATGAATTGGGTCTTCAACGTAAAGCCTGCCTATCACACTAATTATGTTTTCTTTCTTCTTTCAATACATCTGTATCCAGTATACAAAATACTAAAACAAGCATGCTAGTCCCACACAATCATATCAGATATTCTGGAGTTTATGGATATAGATTAAAATCGAAATGGAGGCATTTCAAATGGAAAAAAATCATTGCTCTCCATATATATTCAAAAGGCACATTTTATTGCTTTAAGTCTCATAAACTACTGCAAGGGAATGAGGTAGGGGCTGTCATAAAGATTGGAGCTCTGCTTACTTCAATCAGTGAGCAGACAAACGGTAGTGAAACGGGTGGAGAGGAGTATTGCCATAGAACAGCCCTTCAAAGTCATATCACCATCAAGACTAGCCTGGAAAAGTTTTCCTGCCTGGAAGCCACATTAGTGAAGTGACAAAAACTCTAAAGTCAGAACACACAAGAACTGTAGGTATAGGTTGAAATTTTGGCTTTCTGAAGTTAGGAGCCAAACTCTCACTGATTTCAGGAGGGCTGTATTTTATCTAACATATGGCTGGGGAAGGGGTGAGGAGAGAGTATCTACATGAGGCATTTTGGTTCTTTTCTAACGAAGCTCTCAAACTTTTTACATAAAAATATGACATGGTTTAGATTAGATATTGGGAAGAAATTCTTTACTGTGAGGATGGTGAGGCGCCGGAACAGGCTGACCAGAGAAGTTGTGGGTGTTCCATCTTTGGAGGTATTCCAGGCCAGGCTGGATGGGGCTCAGAGAAACATGGTCAAGTGAGTGGCATCTCTTCCCATGGCAAGGGGGTTGGAACTAGACAACCTTTAAGGTGTGTTCCAAACCAAACTATCCTATAATTGTATGATGTGGCTATCTCTTTCTGTAAACATAGTTCAGCAATCCTTTAACAGATGTACAGAACTTCAATACTTGCTCAGTGCTGGTCATTGCTTGCCTTCTCAGCTCACTTGCAACTACAACCTTGCTACAAAGCCTTGTCATCCCCTTGTAATGACTGAAAGAGGGAAACTATGGGGTGACATAAAAAGCAGATAAGGGAGCAGAACACTTCAGTAACTGGAGCTGCCACATAAACAACCATTAACCCTCAGAGGAGTTTATGTACTGTTCAGAAGGAAGCTGAGGATGCATGGCAAGATCAGGTGCAAAAATAGATTCATAGATCTGGTCAAGAACACAACTTCATACAACAGCAATTTGGCAGTCTATTGTTTCTTCATGATCAAACCCAAACTCAGATTAAAAAAAAAGTCTAAAAAGGTTCTTATCTACTTATGTTCCTTCACATGTATACACAGTCCAAATCACAGTCCAGTCCCATATTTCTAAAAGCACAGCAAAACCATCAGTCATTCTGCATTTCTTTGTTCATAGTCATTGCCACACGCGTATTCTGAATACTGCTATGAACAGTAGTACTAAAGTTAATTCTGTAAATCCTGAGAAATTCAGATTTTGATTAACTATGATGAAGTCTTCATTTACCATTGACAGCATTATGGTCAGTCACATCAATATATTGAGGGTGTGTAGTAGAAGGTAGGGAAGAACTTGTTAGGGTTAGTCTGAAACAGTTGGAAGGCTGAATGAAGAGCACACAGATGTATCCATAGGAGGGCTTGTCAGGCTGGCTCAGAAAGTCAGTTTAAACATAGGTACAAAACAAACAACCAGTTAATAAACAGACTGACCAGAGAAGGTGGAGGAATTCAGGAATGAATCTGTATGACAGCAAGGTAGGTAATAATTAAGACTTCTGCAGAAATTTTTTCTTCCAGCTACCAAGGAATCCTTTGATGACAATTCTTCTCAGGTTCACACTAAAAGACTGGAATACTTTTGTCCAAAATCTAAGTGTTCCTTTTATTTTCGTCTTGAAATGTCTATTTTTTAAGAAACAAATTCAAAAGGCAACACATCTTTCTGTGGAATAAGCTGTTCACCTACAAAGACATGTTCTTGAAGATCCTCTTCCCTTAGAAAAATAATCATTTCAATGAAATATTTTTCCAACTATTGTTATTTTTCAACTAAGGACATAGAGTGAATGCCCTCACATATTTATTCAGCTGCCTCTTCACTCTCTAAAGTATTGTAGACTCCACTCTACAGGTACCTTGACTGCTGCCTTATTCCCCATCTGTTTATCATTCTTTGTACACCACAGTTCCGCTTGATTTCCTTAATAAATTACTACTAGATTCCTAATTTTTAGATTATATCTGTTCTTTTATGAACTCCCACTCATAGTGTCTATACGAATCATCTTACCATGTTAAGTCTGCAGAATATAAAAGAATCAGCCAAGTAGACAAGAAATCCCCTTTGTATAAAAGCAGAGCATGCATGAATCTCTGAGGAAGTATGTAAAGAGGCCCTGTCAGTTTAACGTGGTCCCAGTGAAACACTTAGTTACTGTATAAGAATTTGATTTAGCGTGAGTGTGCATCTGTCTCTCTTTGTCTGTCTGTGGGTGGTCTGCCTAGCTTTCTCCAGCTACTGTCCCAAAATTATGTACACAGGCCAGAGTAGATGACAAAATATACTTGTGCTCCTCAGTCCCTGGCTGCCCCTCCTGAGGCACCTAAGGATGTTAGAAGTGAGGCTGTGACTGGACTCTTTCATTTAACCAGAAAACAGATGCAACACAATCCACTGTGGTAAGATCACTATTGGACCTCCAACACCACCTTCCATGGGCAGTCAGAAGCCAGCAGAGGAGTGCATCGGCTGCAAACTCAGTAGAATTTTTTTGTGGTGTAGTCACATATATCCCTAAACACCAAATCAAATCACAGGCCAGAAGTAGCATAAGATCATTTGAAAAAGCCTCCTATCAGTCTGAACACATACTAAGTGCCTGCTTTAGCTCTCCAAACCTGAGTCACAAACCTTGGTGACACAGGCCACACCATCTGTATTTGCCAAACAGACAATTACGTGACTCAGAGAGACCACCAGAAGTGCCTCAATATTTTGATGCTTTGGGCAGCAGCATGGCCTGGTATCATTTATGCTGCTGTTGGCTACAGAGGGAACCATACCAATAAATAAATACAATAGATATGGGCTGGGAGGGTGCTTTGAGGAGGCTCAATTCCTACTGCAAAACAACGATGTCCCTCACTGTTCCCTATGAGTCTGAAAATGTTCAGACTCAGCTAAAGCTTTGAATCTCAAACACAGAATTATTAAGCATAGAAACACCATTTCAGCCTCACAAACGCCATAATCTGCAGTTCACTGGAAGCAGCAAGAGGCTAGTGGGGAAACAAATTTTTGTCCAGATCTTTCTTTCTTTAGTATTGACTTCATCACCCCTGATAGACAAGATAACCAGCCACACACCAGCTTGATGATTTGCTTGTATGTTTCACGCTTTTCTATTAATTATCATAAATCTCAGGACTGTTGACCATTTCATAATCCCACTTGATTGCTATTTTCCTCTCAGCAACCTGAAAAGTGAAGGAAAAGAATGCTAGTCCTGCCACGCAGAGAAAAGTTTGCTGAGACCACTAACACACCTCTTCCATAAGGATGATGAAGGTGGCATTGTGTCCCTGCTCCATGACCAGCTTTCCATCAGTAGTGAGGATGTGCAGTCCCCGAGGTGCTTTTCCAGGGCACTTCTCCATCTTGGCCATGTACTTCTCTCTCAAGCCATCTGTGCAGTTGTTAGACACAATCCTTCGGTACCTAGGGAACAGTCAAAAAAGGAGATTGGGCTCAGACAGTGGATAGAAATGTTCCTTTGTGGTTTTTTTGTTTCTCCTCATTTATGCATGTGTTTTTTTAAAAGGCTTACTGCCTGTATGATTCCCTCACTGAAAGGAAGAATCAAAACCCAACGTTTTATTAAATGGGAGAAAGCCAAACCAATCACAATCCAATGTTCTCCAGAGATTCTCAGCAGCATCACTGAGAAAAGACACATTGTGGAGGTGAATCACTGTGCCCTGCTAAAAGGCAGAGAACTCCTCCAACTCCTTATGCCTGCAAGATTGCACCCTGCATCCCAACTTTTTAATTATGCTTTTTATTACATTTTGTCTGCCTCTACTGTGCTAGAAGGCACTTGAAATTATCTACCAAGGGCTTTGTCCAGTTCAATTTTAAAACAATTCAAGGAATAGTTTTCTTCTCTTAGCTCTTCTTGGAAGAGGTTAGCTAAGAAGCAAGGCACTTGGCTATTCCCAGTGTTGATGAGGGGGATTAACCCTTTCTATCAATTTCACAGTAAAAATACAAGATTGGTTAGGAAGACACAAACCCCAACAGTTTTGCAACAAGTCAGTGCAACAAGTGTTTCACAACATCTCCTGCATGATAGAATAACATTTGCAAAGTGATACTACCGTAATAAACCAACATTTGCCATCTGTTCTGGATAAAACCAGGAGAAATCAGCACATACAGCTTGCCTGAAATGCAAGGCATTGTATATACAAAGTGAAAATGGCAAAGGAAAAAAAGAGGCTAAAAATTGCTCATATAAGCCTTCCTAGAAGCTGATACAAATAGGAGCTGTAACATAGTAAGAGCTTCAATAAAAACCAGTGTGAAATACCTCGAACCTGTACCTTTAAATGTTCAGCTGTCTCTCAGACCTTCTTGACTCATGTTTTAATTTTGCAGCAAAGGGGAGCTCCAAGTCTAGACTCCAGGGATCACACATCACTTGATAGCAATGCAATATCTACACATCACATATGTTAACATGTTTCTCCCTGTCCCTGAGGAATGAGGCAGTGTTCTGTACAGATGCTGCTGCAAACACTACCTCATGAATATGACTGGAAAAGAGCCAGATGGGATGCAGAGAAAGAAGAACCATCCAGATTCTCTTTGTGTACTGCAAAGTCACCAAAACCAGACGGACTGCAAGACTCACTTACCCAGTGCTGTTCCAGTAGTTCTGACCAATGCTGCAATCCTTGGACAGGGAGGATGGGCTGAACCAGAAGGCTGGGATACACTGGTTGTTGCTGTGCCTCTCATACCCATAGTCACTACGGAGACAAGTCAGGAGTGCATCACTGTACCCATTTACTGGATTTAGCTCAGAGTTTTAGGTGACATCCCCAAAGCGCGTGTGTGTTGGTGGTTTTCTGCTGGATGGCGTGACATCATGGATTGGGCTCATCCAGAAACAAAGTACTGGACTAGTTTGAGAGGCAGGAACATGATTCACGGAAGGCCTATGACATCTGACAACACCAGAACTACTTACCTTGCAGAGCACTGAAGGATTTGCATTTCATCTGACAACCAAACATGGACGGAGATTAAGAAAGAAAATTGTATTGTTAATTTCTTTTCCTATTAATCTCTAATTTAAATTTCACTTTCGGGTTCTTTCGGTTTGCTTGCTTTTTGCAGTCTTTGCTTTTAGAACAAACCAGACTAATTCTAATTTTTCACTTTTTCCCAACGAAGTGGCTAGGAACATAAAACACTAGGAGCATTTCCTGAACAACTAGCCACGGTATGTATATTTATGTATGTTAATGACCTCCCTGCTCTCTGACTGAGCTATGACTTGCCTGAGAGAAAAATACCACTGATGTTTTTCTAATGCTGAACTAAAACAACACAGCCAACATGGTAGCCTAAGGATTACATGGTATTGTGTCACATAGGGAAGGCAATCTAGGGTATTGATGGTTCTTTGGACCACCTAAGAGGGGAAGTGTACACAACCACATGCAAAACTTCTTTTTACAGCTGTCTTTGTGTGCCAATACAATGATGAAGCAATAGGATTAATCCAAAGCTTTCCATAACTTTTAATAGGCTCTGGATCAGGTTTCTATGCATAGCCTTTATTGATAGTCTGGATTCAAAGGGCAAATAAAAAGAGATCCTGGATTTTTGCCTGAAGCAAGTTAACAAATGCCAACACACTAAACCTCAGTGAAAACAAAGACACTGCAGAAGCCACTATCTTGAAACATCTCTGTGCCCTTTAGGACAATCTGAGTTTTATCCTTCCCCATTCAGAGTCTGAACTGCCAACAAAAAGTCTCTAGGAAGTTCTTTGATGAGACAAAATTGTGCTATGTCCCCAGTGACCCAGACTGCTACTGTTCCTTTTTTGGAGGACAAAAATTCTGCAAGCTACTTTAAAAGGTTTGGAGATTCCCTAATGCTCTTTCTCTCAACATTCAATTTAATCATTCTCAGTGGGTCCGACCTGCACAGTCAAAAATGCCTGGCAGGGACTTGATAATTAAAAATATTCAGGAGGAGCTGTACTTTGCCCAGGAGAAGAAAAGAGCTGCATAAATATTTAATAAAATTAAAGACAACATTGCTGTGTGCCCTCAAGGTTCTGTGCTTGTTCATTAACTTCTGGTAAATGTATATTAAAACCTCGCATGCTGCCCACCTTCCTTCTCATAAGCCCCAGGGTTTGCATAAGTTAAGGAAATAATCAAGTCCAGCTGCTGTGCTGTCTTTGTCAGGAAAGCTATCTTGACAGAGTAAATAAAGAAGCAGGAGGAGGGAAAAGAAAGATCAGCGAGTGCTTTAATAACACTTTGGAGTTCCTTCTGCCAGAAAAAGGCCAGGATTTGCTTTTGAAAATGACTGCAAGGGTTGGCAGGAGTCACCCCTGATCTTGACTCATGAGGATTTGTTGAACTGGGGCCCTGGATCATAATTTATGCCCCTGAATTTTAGATCAGCCTTATATCTAATAGGAAAAAACAGCACTGCAACCATGAGGCAGAGAGGGGCAAGGGCACTGTGACCAAATGGGAGGGAGCACAGCCCTCACAGCCTCTGCTATAGGGCTGCTGCAGTCATTTATCCCATCCCCAGGGCTCTTGAAGTCAGGCATCATCCCACCTAGTAGCTTGGGATGCTCCAAGACCAGCACCAGCCTCCAAATCTACTTAGTGGGGAAGCAGAGGGCCTGTCTGTTGGGACTTGCTGGTCAGTGTAGTCACACAGCCCCAGCTGCTGACCCTCCTCCTTTCCCTGACACTCCACAGGACCTGCTCAGTCCAACACAAGAGACAGACCAGTCAGTGCTTTCAAGAACAACTGTACACTGTGAACCCAGCCAGAAAAGGCTGAGGGGACATTTTTTTTTTCTTGAAAAGGAAATATTTTTCTTGAAAATTCTTAAAGTGAAAGAGTAGGAGCTTTCCTTTCAACTGTCCTGTCCACCTTCTAGTCAGCAGAGAGAAAAGGGATTTCTCATACTGACATCCCAAAGAAGGCAGATGAATCTAAAATGTATTCTAGAATAACCCATATTTTGCCACTCCTTAAATAACTGCCTCATCCTTTAGAAGTCACAAGTCAGAGCAGATGGGTCCACCTTTTTCTCTGAAAATCACTTTTCAGATAATCAAGCTTGGTGCCCCAATTCCATCATTGCTAGTAATTTCCTCAAACTGACTGCCCCACACCTTCCAGTCAGCCCTGCCAACTAGCATCAAAACTCACCCTTAAACTGAAGCATTTTCTTCTGATTCTCCATCACCAGCTAAAACAATTCTGCAGTTGGAAGCCAGTTAACAATTCTGTTGGCAGTGCAGGGTCTGAAACAAAAGCCAGCTTGCTGTCCTCTAATTGCATTTTCTCTGCAGGACTGACAGGGTTAATAGCAATATTCTCTCATGTTAGCAGGAAAGATAAGCAAAAATGATACTGAATGCAAGCAAGAAATCCGCCAATTGACTGAAAAGGTGTGTTCTGATGCAGATCTTTTTCAAGGCAGAACAGCACTTAAGTCCAATTTAGCTACCACAGTTTTCCACTTACAGCTCGGAAAAGACAAGCTTCACTGTGAAAATAGAAAGTCGATGAGGCATTAAGCAGCATAAGGGTAAAAAAACCCAAGTAAACTCATAAGTATCTCTAGAGATTGGTTCTTGATTCACCCCAGAGGCATATGCCACTGCCAAGGGCAAATACTGTAGAGCAAGATAGTTTGTCCTGCAAGTTCTCATGACAAGAACAAAGGGGAAAGATTTCACGAGTCAAGTTAAGGAGTCTCAGATGTAATTTTGGCATTAGGAACAAATTAAACATCCATCCAGATAAGATGAAAATCTCTGCTCTATATCCCTGAACCTCTCTTAAAGCCAAACTACTACGATATTCAAGAGAACACGTTTCTTAATTTTTCTACATTTCAGTACGTCCATGCTCCAAAACAGAACTACGAGTTTCAGCTGGCCTAAGTCCAAATAAATGTATAGATCTCACGCCTCACACCTCTTCAGAAGGTATTCAAAGGTAAGAGAAGTTTTTGGAAATTATACCGATACTGAGTCAGACATTGATCCTGATAAACTACTATAAAAATTAAAATGTTTTTTCAGCTGATCAGCTTTCAGGGTATCTTGAATTCTATTTAAACGATATTCTCATTATTTAAGCTCAAACATGACAGATATTGACGGTTTTAAATCTTTGAAATATTGCCTATCACAAGTTCTATGTAGTAATTCCTTGTGCAGAGATCCTGACTTGTGCATTCTCTCATCTCCTATCTCTGATTGTCAAGCAGTATCAAGCAGTGTTGCATTTCCCCCCTGTTTTGTTTTTAAGCTGCTTTCAAAGTGACCTTAAAGCAATTTGAAAATTATGACCCTGTTAAGTTAGAAACACCAATATTTATGCAAAACAAGTAGTTATATCTGACAAGGGTGGGCTGTAGTCGTCACAGAAGCCTTTCAGAAATTTCTCAATAAAACATTGTTAAAAAGCAATAAATGGTTCCCAGCAATTCAAAGGAACAACAAAAAAATGTGCATGTTTTCCTAGCTTGCTCCCTAGGTATTCAATGACCTTGGAAGTGAGGACAGAGAAATTCCCTCTGTCTCCTGAAAGGGACATGCTTTGGACCAGAGAAGTCCTGATTGTCACTCTTCTAGAATGACAGACAAAAATGTCAAACAGTACTTGCAATTTTTTGCTTTTGAATTCCAGGCTTGGATTTCTCATGGAGTTTAACAAATCTCTCCTTCAGATGGAAGGGAAGCCTTCCCCACACAACAGGTATGGGGGTCACAGCTCTGCTATATGGTGCAATCACAGCCGCAAAGCTGCATTAGATGCAGTTTCTCTGCAAGGTTTTCTGTCTGGATATTATTTTGACCACTACAAGAATAGCCCATGAAAAAAGTCCCCAGAAACATATACTCACCACTCGAAGTCTCCTTGACCACAGACACACGGTTCAGACACCACAGTTTGGGAATAATCTTGACTTAGGGAACACTGGGCTCCAGGCTTGCGTTTTTTATAGATCTTCCTCTCTCCCATGACACAAGGCTCCCCCTTCATTAGCCAAGGAACAAGAGAAGAAAGAGATTTGTAGTGGCAGCTGTGTCCTAAATGGAGCATTTTGTCAAAAGATGCAAAAGGCAATGAAAACAAGCATTTACCACTGGGAGAGTTGGAAGGACAGAGTCCAGCTCCCTTTTGTGTCTTTGCAAAATCAAGTCATCATGGGAGGACTCATGAGTGCAGTGTGTTCAGCATTGAGTTGGGATGCTAATGACAACGTGCCCCAAATGTCTGGATACCCAAGCCATCACACCCACTTATGCCATGTTTCAGAAGGCATCCACCAATATCGAGTCCTATGAATTATCCTGAAAAGACAACATGGGTGCACTCCAGGGTTTCTTCCATATGTCAGATAAAATCTGCTGCAGAAGGAAGTGTCCAAGCCTGAAACCCAAGGCAGGGACAAAATCTAGGTGTGGAACACAGGATTTGACTCCCTTGCTCTTTCCTTAGTAGACCTGGCTTTGTTATAGATCTTGAATAATTCTGATGGTGTGTTTTGCTGGGCTTTTTGAATGCAAAGGTTTTCAAGAACACTACTGGGAGTACCTAATCTAAAAGAAACATTTGATATTTAGGTGAGTTGCTATAAACAGAATTTTCTATGATGCAGAAATAATTTGTCTGCATAGAAATAAGAAAAAAAAGACAACACCTAATTGAAATATTTCTCTTTCCCATTAACAATGATACCCTTGGTTACACACGTGTCTTCCCTTTTCTTTCATTTAAATTATTTCCATTAATTCAATTCTATGACTTCAGTTATCTGACACATCCTTGCAAATTAATGCTCATTTCTAATCCATGTATTTCATTCAGGAATATCACAGTGCCAATGGTTCTGGCCCTTGTTATGTTCCCCTGCAGGGTGTGGGACATCCTGCTGGTGGCAAGTAGCCCATAAATAATCTGCAGAGGGTATTGACCTCTCAGTTCTGGTCACTTCAGGACCTAAATATATCCAGCATGAAAATAAGCCAGAGTGTATGAAAAGAAAAGCATGTATCCTAGAATAGAATGAAACAATTTGGCCTTCTTTGGTGTCTTTTATTCAAGAGCTCCCCAGAGTTTTATAGACACCTGCAGGACCTGCAGGATGAATACATGTTTTTATTTTCATTTTTGAGTAGGGAAAATAGAGGTAAAGTAAAACAAAATTATTTTCATGAGTCACGGACAGAGCTACAAAGAGTTCAACATCTTCCACAATTCAATCACAAGGTGAGGTTTTACATTGCCCTAAGCACTGAGGCCAAAAAGATCCATCTGGTGCAATGGATTATTTTTTATAAAAATAGAAGTTAATCTCCTGAACTTGCCCACAGAAGACTGGCCCCATGTTTATTCATGCATATTCTTTAAGGGATGCAAGAAAATCCATATGTTTTGCTGGAAATAACAACTGCATTCCTACCAGGCAACACAGAGTACAGGAAAAGGAACACCCATCAACCCCTCCCTACATGGTGGGAATACCTGATTGTGCAGATGCCAGGTTTGGTAGTCATCTTTGTTACACCTTCGGCTGAAGACAGACTTGTAATCCACCTTGACCAGCTGCCACTCAGAACGGAGGCTGAAGTGCCCAAAAACTCTGAGCATGGGAGATAAAAAAAAGGAAAGAACCAGAGTCAGCCAGACATGCTTGCATTAAGCAAATAATGTTTCATGAATCTCAGCTGCAGAAACCAATACAGCCTTGGAGCTTGATGTCAGAAAATGGTATTCAGTCATGAGTAACATTTTGCTGTTCCTATGATATCCTAAGATTGTTTATCCTTTTCCTGACACCTCGTACAGCCTCTGTTGGAAGGTCTTTCCATGACTGTAGTACCTGGCACAATGGGACCCTAGTCTAATACTTGTATCACTCAAGAACATTAAACAACTAGTTTAGACACTAGCAATGTGTCTAACATCAAGGTTTTGGCTGTCTCAAAATCAAGCCTTTCTTAGATAACACAGTTTCTTTATTGTTGAACATATGTGTTGCACAAACTTACTACTTAATGAATTGTGAAACACCAGAAATTAACATTTGGGATATGGACTAAAGACAGTAGTGTCCCTTCCTCTTAGTGAATGCTGACTGCAGCTAGTAGGAGTGGAATTATAAATGATCACCACTGCAGAATTTTTTCTTAACTCTTGTGAGTAGGTCACTCATCATCAGCAGTCACTGATCACACTCCATGGTTCATCTAAGTAATAAGCAATAAGTTCATTTTCAGGATGAAAATGACACATTTTTCACACAAATCTAGTATAACACAAGACTGAGTAAGTCAGTATATGGGAGCAGCTGGAGCTGAAGAGTCAGCACCCAAAAAACAGGGGAAGGACTCCGACTGTAATCTGAAACTCAGGCACAGATCTGTTACAAATAGAATGATGAATGATATAAAATTGAATTGTAGCAGAGGCTTCTCCTCAAGTTTGGACCAGAACATTGGGAGTAGAGATGGTTGTCAAACACAGGTCTCTCTAAATTCCATTTCAGCTATGCAGCCTTCCTTCACATGCAGGTAAAACTTTGTAATTTTTTAAGTGCCCAGAAGAGAAGGACCAAGGCAGCAACGAGCAGTGATGGCACACATCACCAAAGTACCACCAGGTATTCTACATGTTGAAAGCTCATACCTTCACCAAAGAAAGCAAAATCATAGCAAAACCCTGGTTTAATTAATAAATTAACACTAGGCACCCAGTCAAAAGACTCCATCTTCATGAGTGCTCAGTTTTCAATCAAAACAGATTCCCATTTCCTTGGTCCGCTATGATTTTCTCAGTAAAGAGGAACTTTTTCAATCCACTGCAGCTGGATTTACAAGTGTATAATGTGAGGAGATTAGGATGGGTAATCAGGTTTTAAAAGCCATTAATAAAACTACAGCTTCTCATCGGCAGGGGGAAATCTCAGTACACATCAGCAGATAAAGATCAAGTTGATTTGTCCTTATAACATGCCAAGGTTTTGACTATTTTGATTATATAAAAGAACCTAAAACTTCATCAAAAACACGAGTCCCAGATTTAAAAAATTCTGTATGTACCACAACCCAGATCTTTTCTGACACAAGAAAGGTCACTGCATCAGCATTATTGCAATATTTAGAGGGCAGAGAATTATTTTTTTCATTATTCCAAATCTTTCACCAATTTATATTTTTACCCAAGCCATTTCTGAGACTAAATTTTTTGTTGTTTTAATTATTCCAGAGTAACAAAGAAAGAGGGAGAAAGAAGATTTACAAATTTTCCTATGAAATAAGGAGAAACAGAAGAGAAGACTTCCACACACTGACCACAATTCAGATCCCACTGTGTCCCCAGTGTGATGCCATTCTTTACTCTGGATCATCTTAGTTTACACTGTAATCATACAGAGTGTTGGCTTTGCTCTACCCTCAGTCTTTCTGTAGACTGTAACCTCCATCAAAATTCCTCTGCATTGTGCTGTTCTTTGTGAAACAAAGACCATCCAGGAATCAGTCATGTTCTCCCACTCAGACCTGTCTCAGCTCATGGGTATCAGGGAGAAAAAGGTGGGTGGGTGAGATCTGCGAGTCTGGAGCTCTGGGTTTGCTGTGGACACCTTTCTATATCCAAGTTCTGCCTCACAGAGGCAAGCTCCACAAAGCTGACAAGGAGAACCTGTGCCAAATACATATTCAGTTAAAAGTGAGTAGGTAGGGAAGGAGTTGTCTGGTTGAATGAGTTTATTAGGTAGATTGTTGCTACTCTCCAGAATAATGCTCAGCATAGTCCTAATTGTAGGTATTACTGACACAAAATACCAAGACATTGAGGTGAAGGTACAAAAGAAGCTGCAATTCCTGTTCCTCAGCAGAGAAGGCACATCCTAGACCAAGAGAAACTCACAGAAAACAAAGCAGTATGGGGTGCCAGGGCACTTGTTGGGAGAAGAAGGGAAGAAAGGGAAAGAGTACAGGAGGAAGGATGAGGAAAGCCTCCAAAACTGTGCTCAAATAGGAATTCTAACTGCTGTTCCCCTTCCCACTTTTCCTTGGCACTGGGTAAGTCCCATCAGCTCTTACACCACAACTGCTGTCAGCACAATCTTGTCTGAGCTGGATGTGATGCATGACTGAAACATCCTGAAACACCATTCCTGCAAAGCGGCAATGCAGCAGGCAGAAATCATTTAGCCCAGTAGATTTATACCAGTTTAGATTTGACTTGGGTGTTTATTACACAAAAAAATATAGCAAAAGGAGGAGAGAAAATGATCAAACACATACACTTCCCTGAACACAGAAGATAAAAGGGCCAGAGAAATCAAACACTCTGGTAGTCAATGCTTCTCAAGGAAAATTTTGTTCCTCAAACTGACCCTGAGCTAACTGTCCATCAGGAGAGCAAAAAGTTTCTTTTTGCTTTTGAAAAATTGTCAGAATTACTTGATTTTTAAATCTACTAAAATAAGCTAAGGCAAACCTCCGACATTGAAATTCTTCCATGATGATTAATGAAAAAACCTCAAAGTTTCCTAAGTGGAAAGCAGCATATTAGCATTCCAAAAGCACAGAGAATTAGATAGTCTTTAATTAAACGATTTCAAAGATGATCTTTGTGTATAATTGCTATAATTTAGATGGAAACAATACTACACTAAATGTAATTAGAGGAGTGTGAACAGAGAGGGATGTTTTCCTCTGTGCTGCAGAGATGGTTCTGGGTCAGCTGATTCCTGAAGTAGTGAGTTCCCACTCCACCCTCCCCTTGCTAATAAAAAGCTCCTTAGGGCTAATCAATCACTGTGGCGCAGGCTTCAGAGATAAGAATTGCAGAGGAGCCAACAAGCACCCGCACCCTGTGTGAGCACTGCTCGCCAATACTAAATGCCACCTGGACCCCTTCAGAATGGTTTCATTGCCCAGCCAACATGATGAAGGTTGTTACAGCTCATGATGACTTTGTTGTGCATTTGAAACTTCGATTAGTTGCTATAAGCAAACGTAAGGAATGGAAAAGAGGTCTTTGTTATCTGTGGGGCTCCACTAGTGTCTCAAACAGTTTTCCTTGGAAAGTGATGGAAACCTTCATTGTTTGTGAAATTTAAAATGGGCTAAACAAACCATCAAAGGGCACAAACTCTGACTGAGTATGACCAGAGAGTGCAGCTGAACTCTGCTTTCATCAGTTTTGTGAACTACATCACTGGATCTTTTTCCATAGAGACTAAGGTGTATGCACATGACATCTTCCCACTGTATTTCTCGGGGTGGCCAGGTCCAAGAGAGGGTTAGGCAGACAGAAAAGAGCTGTAACATTTTAAAATTGCTAGTCTTTGGCTCTCAATAACTGTTAGCACTAAGTGCTCCAGCTGTTACATAACAGTTTCTGTATCCAGTGTAAATAAACAAAGCAAGTCCCGAGGAAAGAGATGCAAATAGAGATTGGTGAGAGTTTCTTTTTCCCTACTCAACTGGTGAGTCCTCAAGTTGCTTTGAAGACACCATCTCATTCATCTTACCCAATTTCCATGTGCCTTTGTTTTTCATTTACTTTGTCTGGTCATTAAATTAGGGAGGTAGTTGCTTTTAACAAACATAGATAAACTACCAAGATGATACAGGGGAAAAGGAAATAATCTACTATAAAATTTTTATCAATGACTTTGTCTACCATGGTCTAACTGAAAGCTCTTAATCATTTCTTGAAAGGATAGAAGACAAAAGAAGAGAGCTGGGTTTTCAAGGTCCCACTCTGGGAAGCCAACAAAAAAACTATATTTTGATTTCTCTAGTTAAGCAGTCTGATCTGGAAGTCCTTGAGAAGCAAGAACAAGAGCCCAGATGGTATTTAGGTAGATATTTAGGTTTTCTGACTAGGTTCTCCAACCTAAGCCATGGAACAGTAATCTACAAAACCTGGATAGGTTTTGTTCTAGCTCTTCAAGTAACCAGTTGAAACTCCACATAAAATCTTAGCTAATAGGACAGCATCCTCTCAATTGGTTCTGTGCATAGCTCACAGTGGAATCATTGCTAAGAAATCAGAAAATATTTCCCAAGCCCTTCTTTGGAGAAACAGGGCAAGGCTTTTATTGCCAGGACTGGATGTCATTAATTTGGAGAAAAATTGTTAGAAACATGGAAAACACTTCTGAAATGCCTACAGATTCATGACGGACTCATTTTAGAAAAGGTCACTAGTAATGCTGCTATAATTATATCTTTCATTAATTTTTTAAATACACAGTAACTTACAAATGCAGTATATATTGACCTGATAACCTTGTACAGAAGCCCTTTAAAAAGCTTTTTACATTTATACAGTGCTCTCTTCTCAAATTGCATTGCTTTTACCTTATAATTCCTTGCATCGTTGACAGTTGTGCTTTTTATGTAATTCAATACTGTTCATTTCTGACAGGTCAGTAGAATGAATTGAGGGTCACAAGATAACAATCTGGTCCATAGATTCAATCCCTATCCCTGCTTAAGGTATGAGAAACAGATCTTAAGTAATAGCTCCTGTATTGCTTTCAGGAAGGGCATCAGCTGTGTCCATCTGGATCTATCCCTGCTGGCACTTTCAGATGAGCTGCCCAAGCATGAAAATGTAAAT